CACCCCCCCTCCCCCCCTACCCACCCCACACACCCCCCCCCCCCCCTCCTCCCCCCACCCCCGACACCCCGCCCCCGCCCCCCCCCCCCCCCCCCCATCCCACTCCCCTCACCCCCACCCCCCCGCTTATCCCCCTCGGCCCCGCCCCCACCGCCCCCCGATGTTGAGTAATGCCGCCTCTCCACGGAAGGAGGGGACTTTGCTGCTGACTTGTCAACAGTAGGGTGGATTCCGAGCGGGGAAGCTCAGAATTTCCTATTCCATCTTAGGGATTCTGACCTAGTCCTATTCTCAGGGTGTGAGCCCTGAGCCGCATTTCCGTCCCCATCCCTTTTGAGAGTGCCTCGGATCTCCTGGTGTCAGTGACCGTGTCATCTCTAAGCCCTTGACCTGCACCTGGGACTGGTGGTAGAATCTTCTCCTGGGCCTAAAAGTCCGTAGCACAGACAAGTCCTTACTGCCAGCTAGAACCTAGAATTCTTACTCACATGTTAAGCTTTTGGGATATTTGAGCACCTACTGTGTACCTGACTTTCGATATGGAAATCAGTTCATCCCAAACACACGTCTTAGATACTGAGTCAACAGCGGTGAATAAAACAATACGTTCTAGTGGAAGACTGTTAAGACTCTTAGAATTATACTAAGATGAAAGCACATGATTGACCATTGGATAAGGAGAGATGGAGATTTTTGTTGACCTTGATGATGAGAATCATTACAGTGGATGAAAACTTGGTTGCAGTAAGATGCAAAGATGGTAGAAATCGAGAAAATGAAGGCAGCAAAGATCTCTTTTCCATGAATTTTCATATAAACAGAGTAGAGAAATTGGGTGATATTGTCAGCTGTTATTTTAAAGAAGTGACATAAGGCAGGGAATAGGTACCTTATTCTTCCATCAATATAATACTTAGCCTGATGTCAAAAGTAGTTGTCAGAGGTTTTTTTTGTTTTTGAGGTACTGGAGCTTGAACTCAGGGCCTACATCTTGAGCCCATCCACCAGCCCTTTTTTTGTGAAGGGTTTTTCTGAGAAAGGGTCTTGAGAATTATTTGCCCTGGCTGGCTTTGAACTGCAATCCTCCCGATCTCTGCCTCCTGAGTAGCTGGGATTATAGGCATGAGCCACTGGCACCCAGCTAAGTTTCACAAATAGCTATTGAACAAATTTGTGTGGAATATATAAATGAGTATGTTAACAAGAAGCACAACAGTGAGCTCTGGATAGGAGGTACATATTTAGGAGTCACCAGTTTAGACTAAAAACAGTGTAAAGAGTCAAGGAGAACTTGGCCCCTGTGGCTCATGCCTGTTATCCTAGCTACTTGGGAGGCTGAGATCAGGAGGATCACAATTGGAGGCCAGCCTAGGCAAAAGTTCAAGAAACCCCATCTCCAAAATAACCAGGACAAAATGGACTGGAGGTGGCTCAAGCAGTAGAGTGCCTCCTTTGCAAGTGCCAAGCCCTGAGTTCAAACCCAAGGAGGTGGGCAGAGAGAAAGACAGCAGGAGGGTGGGGGAGAAAGAAGGAAGGAAGGGAAAGAAGAGCCAAGGAAGCATATAACAAGTTAAGAAAAGAAATAGTGGTAAAACCCTGTGAAACAACATATTTTAATGTCAAAGAAGACTGAGGAGAAATAGCCAGAGTTAGGAGGAAATAGAGTGTAAAAATGGATGAGTTAACAGTGTCAGAAGACTCAGAGAAGTTTGAGAACCAAATACTGCAACTAAAAGGTCTTAGTAAAGGTGCTTTCAGCAGAGATCTGGAGTGGAAGCTTAGGTTGAGTGTCAGTGAAATAAAGAATATGAGTCAGTGATTGTAAGCTTCCTTTTTCTACGTGCTTGACTATAAAAGTAAAAAGAGCAGGTTAATTAAGTAGAAAGAACTGTTAAGCTCAGGGAAGCAGAAACCTTTTTTTTTTTTTTGCTTCACTGTGTATTCCTAATACCTAGCCTGATGTATACATAAAAAAAGGCACTTGGTAAATAGTTGTTGGGTGAATGAAGAGGGATCCAAGTAAGTGTTTTGTTTTGTGTAGGAATCAGCAAAACATGAGCAACTGCTTACATGAGAACTAGATGCCAGTGGGGAGGGAGAGCCTATAAATATAAAACAGAAGAGGTTGTTGATAGAACAAGTTCCTGAGAACACTTAAAGAAAGGTCATCAGTGGACGTTTATCATCTAGCAAATAGGAACTGTTCCCTTCCTTCTTTCTTATATGTCTGAGGCATTGAGTATATTTAAGTGAAGTGAGAAATACTTGTTAAACTGTAGTGGCCACAAGCCTGGATTATATCATAGCCCCTTCTAGTTCCTACTAATGATCTTCCCCAAATGTCAGATTATACCCCTTATTCTTGGCTTTTTGTTATGAAACATTAAAACTTTTCTTTTTAAAGGTAGAAATCTACCCCTCAATATATTGACCATATATTTTTCTCATTTTAGATTCGCCTTCCACCTGAAGTAAACCGAATTTTGTATATAAGAAATTTGCCATACAAAATTACAGCTGAAGAAATGTATGATATATTTGGGAAATATGGACCTATTCGTCAAATCAGAGTGTAAGTCTTACTGAGTCTTTTGAAATATCATTTAAAGAAAATGATTGCAGGGACTGGGAGTATGCTCAAGTAGTAAAGTGCTTGTCTGGAAATGATTACATAATCTATAATCTCAGCGTTATAGCTGGCAGAATCATCCCTCTGTAAGATAGGCAGTAGTATTTCACAGGTGAGAATACTAAAGTTCAGAGAATAAAAAGTACCCTTCTGGTCTCACACAGTGTTTAGTGTTAAAATCTTCTCATTCTAAATTGAATCTCTAAACTACACAGTATTGTAGCCTCTGTTACTTAAGAGTCTCTCCAAAAGGATTTCTAGAGTTTTTGTTTTAGTCATAGTATTTATTTCTTAATAAATTTCCTTTTATGACTTGAGAGCCCTTTTGTGGCATCTAGAACCATGATATCTGAGGACTCTCTCTTTGAGTGATCAACATTCCTCCTGAGAGTAAACCAAGAACTGGAAATACATCATCGTTGGTACTTGGATGGTGATGAAAAGGACAGACCAGCTGTCCTTTTTAGGACGTCTCAGTCCTCTGAGCATTTGATGAGAGCTTTGGACCCTTCACACAGAATACACAAAATATTTTGTCTATATTTCATGGAATACATGGACTTTAGGTTTAAATCCTGTTCTAGGTATAGAGAATAGTATACAGAAGATCCCTGACTTGGGAGTCAGGGACAAGATTCTACTTAAGGCCCGGCTTCCTAACAGGCTGCCTGAGTTTTTTTATTTTTCTCTTTTTTCAGCTGAGACTAATGGGATGATAACCTTTGGGCTTTTAATGTGGAGACAGCATGATAAATTTCCTGGATTGGTTGTTAGACCACGATTCAGATACTGAGTACTTGTTACTCATATGAAACTGAGCAGAGTATTTAACCCATTTGAGTTTCATTTCTCTATGAGATACGGTCTTTCTAACCTACCTGACTCAAAGACTTAATTTGGATCAAATTAGACAGGATCTGTGTATCATTGAATACTCTCTCCCAGTATGCATTAGCCACCCCTCTTCGTGGTCCCATAGCACCTTCTATACTTCTCTTGCTAACTAATACATAGTTTTGTTGTTGTCCATATACATACTTGTCTCCCTGCAACCTCTGAGCTCTTCCAGAGCCATCAAAATGTATTCTTTCTTCTTTGTGTTGACAGCACCATGCCTGATTCATGGTAGGCACCACGAAATGGTAGTGTGGTTGTGATTAACTGATGAAGGCATTGATAATGTTCAAGAGAGGCTTTAAGTGAAGTGAGAGAGTATTTCAGAAAGCCAAACCAAAGAATTTAGTATAGTGGTTCACACCTGTAATCCCAGCCACTAAGGGAGTATGAGGCAGGGAAATTGAACGTTTGAGGCCATCTTGATGAACTTAACAAGATCCTGTCAAATAAAAAAGGCTTTGAGTTTGATCCCCAGCACTGCCAAAATAAAATGAAGTTAGGACTTATTCCTATTCTACTTCCTAAGAAGATAAAAGAAAAAGAGAAGAAAGAGCTTCCTAAAAAGGTATGTATGAGAGAATTGATAGGAGAAAGTAGGTCTCTACCTTTCAAATGCACATTAGCAATTTCAGTGTGCATGGTGCTGTGGGGATAAATTGAAGTATAAGATGACCTTTGTCCTTAAGGAACTTAAAAATATTGTTAAAATTTTTCCTTTTGGCAGTTCTCAACTTTATACTTAATATATTCTTGAAAATGACTAAGCTGTTAATAGTTGCTCATGCTCTTCCTAGAGAGTAAAGAAAATAAAATTCTATGGAAAAAATGACACCTGTTGAAACTGTTCCAGGAATGGGGGGAAAGGGATAAAGGAGAATAATGGAGGGCTGAATTCAACTATGATATATTGTAAGAGCTTTGGTAAATGTCACAAATGTACCCCCAGGACAGCAATAATTAAAATATATATATAAAATCCCTCATTGAGTAGGTTGTGGTGGCATATGTCTATAATCCTAGGGCAGCTAAGACAGGAGGAGCTCAAGTTTGAGACCAGCCAGTAAGGACCTGTTAAAAAAAACAAATAAAAATCCCTCATCGGGCCTATGCAGCCTACCAAAGTGAGCTTGTTCGGTGACACTGGCACCCTTCAATCACCTCCAGCAGCCTATACCTATTCCATGACCTTTTACAGGAAACACAACCTCTAAGCAGGGCCCAGACTGAAATCTTGTCCTAGATGAGTCTATGCAGGTGCCTCCCTTACCACAGATCTGCTGCCTTTCCTTAACCTGGTGCAGGGACAAAGGCAAATGGTGAGCCAGCCCACAGTCTTAAACCTCATCCCATGGTTGCACTGTGTGTGGCTGGAGCACAGATGGAGGGCAAAGTATCCACTTTTGTGATACCAAAAGCATGCCCACTGTCCTCACTAGCAAGCTCTTGGCCATCTGCTGCCAGCAGTTCAGTGCTTCTGTTGCTCGTCACACTTCCCTACCTCCCCCAGAGGAAGCTTGCGAGGTTGCGAGGAGGTATGGCAAGGAGTGTCTCCACTAGAAGCAATCCATATTGTGAGTGAGGCTCACCTTCCGCTGCCAGCCACCTTCCAGTATTCTTCCCTGGCTCACAGATGGCTCCAGACATAAGTGCACTTCTCCTGCCATCTTTTTTTTTTTTTTTTTGGCAGCACTGAGGCTTGAACTCAGGGCCTTCACCTTGAGCCATTCCACCAGTCCTATTTTTGTGAAGGTTTTTTCAAAATAGAGTCCTGGAGAACTATTTGCCTTGGCTTGCTTCAAACCATGATCCTCCTGATCTCTGCCTCCTGAGTAGCTAGGATTAAAGGCGTGAGCCACCAGTGCCTGACTCTCCTGCTATCTTAGCAGAAGCTCAGTCCTTTGCCCAACATACAGGGCTGTGTAATGCACTAGAGCTTGGATTGTTTTGAAATGAATGTGTTGTTTTCTCTCATGTAGAAGACATATCCAAAAGATAAACATATACACAAAACCAAACATACAAACTTATATGAAGAGCATGTTTGCAATAGTGGTTCTTCTCTATGGAACTTGGGGGAGAGAGAAAGGAAAAGAGAATGATAGAAAGTCAACAATATTGAAATACATTACAAGTGTGTAGGTAGAGGATATAAGGATATGTATTGAAAGCTGTTGAATAATGGGGTGAGGTGGGTAAGGGAAGATAACGGAAGGGGTTGAACTGACCAAAGTAAAGTATACTCATAGTGGAATACATCAATGTTCCCTTGGAACACTGACTTTGGAATTAGTAATGAAAGGACTGTAAAATAGGTTCAGTGTATATGTGGGGGGGAGTGCTTGTGGGAGGGTGAATATGGTCCATGAACTTCAAATACATATGTAAAATAGAATGATGAAACCACTTGCAATTAATTGCTTTAAATGAAGCCGGGAGGGGTTTGCAAGGCAGGGAAAGATGGGGTGATCTGACCAGTGTACAATGTAAGCTTATTTGAAATTGTCACAATTAATCTCTCCTGTATATCACAATAAAAATGAAAAAATAAGAAATAAAAATGTGTGGACTGGAAGTGTAGCTCAAGTGGCAGAACACTTGCCTAGCAAGCACAAGGCCCCCAATTTATTTATATATTTTATTCATTTTGGTAGGACTGAGGTTTAAACTCAGGGCTTTGTGCATGCAAAGTAGGCACTCTTCTGCTTGAACCACACCTTCAGTCCATTTTTGCTCTGTTTATTTTAGAGATGGGTTTTTCCAAACTATTTACCTGTGCTGACCTTGAACCTGGATCCTCCCAGTCTCAGCCTCCCAAGTGGCTAGTATTACAGGCATGAGCAACCAGCACCCAACTATAATGCACTTTAAAAAGGCAAAGAGCCAGGCGCTGGTGCCTCACACCTGTGATTCTAGTTATTCAGGAGGCAGAGATCAGGAGGATCGTGATTTGAAGCCAGCCCAGGCAAATAGTTTGAGAGACCCTATCTTGAAAAAGTTCATCACACAAAAAGGGCTGGTGGAATGACTCGAGTGTTAAGAGTGCCTGCCTAGCAAGCATGAGGCCCTGAGTTTAAACCCCACGGCTGCAAAACAACAACAACAACAAAATAATTACAGGACTTGGACTGGTAGAGAACACTTGCCTACCCTAAAGCCCCGAGTTCAGTCCCGCACTGCAAAAAAAAAAAAAAAAAAAAAAGTTACAAGTTCACAGGTCCAAAAGATAGTTTTCTGTTACTAAAGATTATCAATGCTTGGGTAAGTGGGTAATTGCATTCAGTTTACCTCTACAGGGGGAACACACCTGAAACTAGAGGAACAGCTTATGTAGTCTATGAAGACATCTTTGATGCCAAGAATGCATGTGACCACCTATCAGGATTCAACGTTTGTAACAGATATCTTGTGGTCTTGTACTACAATGCCAACAGGGTAAGTATAGCAAAGTTCTCATTGTGTGGTGAGCGTGTTTGAGAATTAGCATAGAACTAACTGTACCATGGTGGGAAATGTGTGTTGAGTTTCTTTTTTAGCTAGTGCAATTGGTAAAATTCATTGACCTGTAGATTGGTACCTGCTAACTTCCATGCTTGCCACATTTCCAGGCATTTCAGAAGATGGACACCAAGAAGAAGGAGGAACAGTTAAAGCTTCTCAAGGAGAAATATGGTATCAACACAGATCCCCCAAAATAATTGTTTTTGCATTTTTATTTTGGACTAAAGCCCATGAATGACCACCACCACCTTTTTTTTAATTAATACTGAATATTGTGATTTCTTATTTGAGATTTAAAATGACTTGCTTGAGCCTTTGATACGTATTAGAATATATTATGTTAATAAATACAGCTTTTTATAAAATGTGACAGTGCTTTCTCTTGAACCTTTTCCCCATCTGGTATCAGGGTAAAGCAAAATAGGTAAACCATACAAAGAATTATAGGTGGGCCTCAGGACTTTTTTTTTTTTTTAAAGACAGGTTTTTACTATATAACTCAGGCTGTCCTTGAACTCAAGATCCTCTTGCCTCTGCCTCCCAAGTGCTGAGATTATAGATGTTACCTACATGCCCTTCTTGAGAGAGGGACCTGTTAATACTCTTTGTTTTGTTTCATTTTAGGTTTTTTTATTGTTTTTTAAGACAGTCTCACTATATAGCCTTGAACTTGTGATCCTCCTGCCTCAGCCTCCCAAAGGTTGTGATTGCAGTCATCTATTACCGTGTGTGGGGGTTTTTTTTGGTGGTACTGGGGTTTGAACTCAGGGCCTCATGTTTGCTAGGCAGGCACTCTACCACTTGAGCCACTCCACCAGCCCTTTTAAAAAAAAAAGAAAAGCAGGGAATACTTCCTGCTCCCCATGTAGGAAATGGGAGTAAAGACTCCTTTTTATTTTCTTAATACCTAAGTTGTCTATTCCAGTGCTTAACCAACAATTTGTCTTTTATTGAATCTTCATCAATAATAAACTCTTTGTTACAACTCAGTGAATGTCTGTAGCTGCACGTTACAGGTGAAGGAACCATCTGGTGGCTGAATAAGATACTTTCATAAAAAGGTGGTATGAGAACAACCAGTTACCGACCAGTCTGTACATTTGAATAATAACTTGCCTTGTAAAGAGCCATATATCTTGTCATGTGGGTACCTTTTCCTTAGAACAGAGGTCCATCATAAAAATGGTCATTCAGGTGACACTACATTGTTAGAAATTCAGGTAGAAATTAGGTAGTGATGTATATTTTAGACCTTAGCTCATAGTGTGCCTTTATCGTAAATAAAATACTTAATGCTCATTCTGTAATCATGAGTTCCCATGACATGGAAATAGTGTGGTTATTGCCACATTAATTATAGCTTAGCTTGGGGTGAGATAGCTATAATTTTCTTTTAATAGTTTAGGCATGGGCCAAATGGAAAAACATAGAGTAATTGTTTTCTAACTGGAACCTAAAATCAATTTGAGGGGTACGTACACTGAATCATTTTAATGGATGAAGAGCATCTATTCTACTTTTAAATGCATTTAGCTTTGAAATCTATCATTACTTTAAGAAAATAGGCTTCTTTATACTGCTGTACTATCTTTTCAAAGCTTACTGTTGATAATGAAGAAATAATTGTCTTATTAATTATGTGTAAGTGTTTTCTAAAAGCACTGTAAGAGAAAGAAAGCCATTTCTAAGAAGGGTGGGCAAATAAAAAGAGCCATAGCTGTAATTTTCTTGTGAATGCTTTTATGAATTTTTTTTTATTAATTTTGTAATGCACGGTATGACTTTAGGTATTTATAAATGTAAAAAGGATTTTCTGAAAGACTTTTCTTGTCAGGGGAAAACTAAAGTTACACTTTATTTAGAGTGTGACTTGTCCAAGTAACAAAGTAGCCTTCATCTAGTTAGTGATTTTAATAATTGGGATGAGGGGGTACAGGTGTGGATCACATGGCAGAGCACCTGCCTAGCAAGTGCAAGGTCCTAAATTCAAACCCCAGTATTGCCCAAAAAGGGGTGGGCGGGGGAATCCCTTCTCTTGGCAGTTATGACCAGTTCATCATTTGAATTAATGTATCTGTTAGCTGAGTTCATGACTTAAGCTAAGAGTTTTAAAAATTCCTTCTAGGGCTGGGAATACAGCTCAGTCGAAGAGCATTTGCCCTAGCATAAATGAAGTACTTGCTTCAGTCCCCCACACCACACACACACACACACACACACACACACACACACAAATAAAACTTCCTTCCTTCGAATTGTCTGGAAATTCTGTAATTCAGTTACAAGAACTTTTACTCTGGCAGCTACTGAGCTCCTACTCTTAGCACCAGGTACTCTGCTAAGAGATTGAGGCTGTTACTTTGATGGTCCCATACACCAGGCTTCCAAACTTGAGTGTAAACTGCAACAGGTCCATGTATTTCCATGTGCAAACCTGTGCCTGAATTGCTGTGCTTTCTTCTAGGTTAAAGTTCAAGTTTCTAAGAACTTATAAATAAGAGATTCATTGACTACCAATTTGGAAACCACTGATAAGTCATAAATCTCATTAATGTTCACCCCTTTAACAACTTTTAGTGCCTCTCACAAGACAGTGTCCAAACTCTATAGCATATGGCCTCAAGATTTTCTGCATTATCTTTTAAAAGCTGCAGGAAACCAGGTCATTTCTCAATTTACCTTTGAAGCCTTATATATCTTCTCCAAGTGCTAGCCACTTAGTAGGTGAGTCTTTTACCACTAAGGCTATGCTCTAGACCAGATCTTTATTATTTTTTTTTTGGTTGACCTGGGATTTGAGCTCAGGCCTTTGTGCTTGCAAAGCAGGAGCCCTACCACTTGAGCCACACCTCCAGTCCATTTTGCTGTAGTTATTTTGGAGATGGAGTCTTGGAAATTTTCAGGATAGGGTCTCAAGAACTATTTGTATGGGCTGGCCTCGAACTGAGATCCTCCCAATCTCAGCCTCCTGAGAAGCTAGGAAGGATTACAGGTGTGAACCACCAGCACCCCCTCCAGAGCAGATCTTTTTATACTCTATAGTGGGCACCTGAAATAGTCCTTGATGTCATTTTTAGTTATTCCATTGTTAATATGGCTGTGTCTTTTAAACAGGCTGAGTTCTGGGAAATTATCATAGGCACTTGGATCATCAAAAAAGTAGGGACCACCCAGGCGCAGTGGCTCACACGTAGTCCTAGCTACTCAGGAGACAGAGATCAGGAAGATCACAGTTTGAAGCCAGTCCAGGGAAATAGTTTGAGAGACCCTATCTTGAAAAAACCCTTCACATAAAAAGACTGGTGGAGTGGCTGAGGGTGTAGGCCCTGCATTCAAGCCCCATTATCACCACTCCCCCCACCAAAAAAAAGAAAGAAAGCAGGAATCAAGACCACCTCAAGGCAACACCCCAGAGAAGAATGGGTGTAGCACTCTCTGGCTGGTCTGGTCTCACAGTGGAGAGGACCACAGGGACCGCGGGTGATTAAAAGCAAGGCAGTTCCTTTCCATTTCATTTTCTCTATCCTAAAATATTGCCTCTTCATTAACTCGTCAGTCCTCAACAGAGGAACTCAGCTGTGACTTCTTGGAGATGAGAGGGTGGATGAAATAGACACATTCACATAGCCCATACATATATGACATGTTTCAATGGACCTATGAAGGAAATGTAACAGTACAGTTATACCAGCCCCTCCCTCTTCAATCTTGAAACAATTCCAAGTCACCACTGACTATGGCCAAGAGTTTCTCTCACCCTATGCTAACTAAGAGAAAAATCTTTGCCACATTGTCCCAGGCTCCTGACCACACATTACACCAATAAGAGCTAATTTTTAAACCTAACTGGAAATTTCAGTTAGTTATGGAAAACATTAATGAAAATAAGCAGTATAGCCAGGCATGGTGTTGTGTGCCTGTAGTCTCAGCTACTCAGGAGGCTGAGAAAGGAGGATCACTTAAGCCCAGGAGTTCAATACCAGTTTGGACAATATAGTGAGACCCTCTCTCAAAAAAAAAAAATGCTGGGCAGCAGTGGCTCACACCTGTAATCCTAGCTACTTGGGAGGCTGAGATCGAGATAACGAGCAAAATGGAGTGGAGGTCTGGCTCAAGTGGTAATGCACCTGTTGTGCAAGCACGAAGCCCTGAGTTCAAACCCTAGTCCCCGTTCCCCGCCGCTGAAAAAAATAAAAAAGAAAAGAAGCAGTATATGTGGAAACAAGTTCAGACTCCTGCCTTCTCAGAATATTTCCCCAAGGTCAGTTAGAGCAGATCTAAATGAAACTAAGTGGACTTGGGAAAACAAGCTTGGAACCACACTTTTTTTTTAAAGTATCTTCCCAATGTGAGTGAGTGTACTCACACACCACACTCATGTACTCAGACACATGCCGTATCTCCATCTGGGTGAGGGGAACAAATCCCTCTCACTGTGGGTCATACAGATAGAAACTGTATGAGGAACTCAAATCCCGCACTTGGAAAGGTAGGCTGTCTGATTCGTAGCAAAGGAGACTTCTGAGATGAGTAGGAGGTAATATCTGCCTACCTTGCAGGGTTGCTCAGAGGACTGGTGGTGATTTTGGTTAAAAGTATATAGAACAAGGCCCTGTATGAACAATGCTCACATTATAGCTACTGTATTTATTACCACCCACTTGGCCACCTGAAGTTCCCTTTCCACTTTTTCTCCCCAAGGGCAATTGGCTTGTGTAGTCCTTAGAGCACTTCCTACCTACAAGAAGGATGGACAGGAAGTTGTCAAGCACAGAGCCTTTATTTTACATATTATTTCCAAAGAGGACATTGTTTAAGGAGCAGCCAGAATTTATAAGAGAAAGTGACAGTAAAGTTAACTGGTTCAAGTCCCTCTGTGTATACCATGTATTTGCATGTCTGAGCACCTTATGTGTCTGGCTTAAAGTGAAGGTAAGGCAGTATAGATTGTGCAAACAAGAAATCTGTGTTTTGTGATCAGGAATGGCTACTACATGCATCACACAAATTTGCACAACCTGAAATGTTTTGACCTGCAACAGAAGTTTCCTCAAGCAAAGACGTGCGTGAACAACAACAAACACATGGAGCAACTTGAGCAGAGAATGAAATGCCGCAGGGCAGTGAGTGAGCACACTGATCAAGAGCCCCACACAAGAGGAGCCGTCCCAGTGGTAGAGCCGGCTAGGAGGGTGAGCAGCAGCCATCTCCAGCCACCTCCAGTTCCTTCCTGCCTTCATTCTAAGTTGAGCAGCTCCACGTCAAAGATGAGGGTGGCATTGGGAGGGATGACACCAGGGTGGCCTGTGGCTCCATATGCCACATCAGGGGTGCAGGTCAGCTTCGCCCTCTGCCCCAAGCTCATCTAGCAGGGATGGGGGCAGATGGGGAGAGGAGAAAGAGGACCCAGCTTGATTTAAAAGAAAAAAGTGAGGTAACTATGACATTTTCCCAAACCATCTTCATGGTAATTCTGAAGACCTGAGATGGATTTTATATGTGGCACACTGAAATGATGCTAAGACCTCTGATAAATGCCTCAAAATAGCAAAGACTTGGCTATGGACAGTAACACCCATGAAGTAGTCTCAAATTCATTCATCTAACAGAAATTACTGGTTATTCAATTAGTGTATGGCCCAAACACTTTTATTTGCTTATAATTGTTTCTCTCTTCCCAAGAAGCCTAGGAAGATCTGTATAAACAGTACTTGCGCACAATGAAGTGACAAGAGCATTTCATTAAATAAGTTCAGACAGGGAGCTGGGGTCTCACACCTGTAATCCTAGCAACAATCAGGAGGATCGCGGTTTGAAGCTAGCCAAGGCAAATAGTTTGTGAGACCTTATCTTGGAAATACCCAACACAAAAAAGGGCTGGCAGAGTGGCTCAAGTGGTAAAGTGCCTGCCTAGCAAGTGTGAGGCCCTGAGTTCAAACCCAAGTACCGCCAAAAAAAAAAGTTCATTGACTAGAGGCCACAACAGGTGGTAAGGGCTAAGAAACCTACTCTAATGGAGTGTCCTAGGATGTCATAGACCAGGAAGAAGAGCTTAAGCCATGGATTATCACAGCATTTGTCAAAAACCCGCTTGACTTTGGTGGAACAATTGGTGAAATTTGACTAAATCAAATTTTGAATTCTAAGTAATTCAAAAATTGAATTAATTATTGTTTCATTATTAATTCCTGGGTTTGATCATTGTACTATGGTTATATAAGATGTTAACATTTAGGGAAACTATGTGAAAAATATGTAGGAACTCTGTACTACTGCAATATTTTTCCAAGTCTGAAATTATTTTTTTTTTAAAGTTAAAAAACAAAGACAAAGCAATTCTTGCCCTATCCCACTCTTAATTCTTTGCTGCCTTGGGCTCAGATAGCTGGTTAACCTCCTTTGCTAGGTCCAAGCAAGCCTAGTGGGATGAGAGGCCCCAATGACACAAATGAGGCATGCAGTCCACCAAAGGGGTAGGGGCAGAGCCAAGAGTGAGCACTAGATGGCGTTGTCATGCCCTGGCAGTAGAGTCAAAGCAGTAGTGGTTTCTGGTAGCATGAGGGTGGAGGTGGAACACACAGTGCCGAGCCCAGATCCCCACGTTCTTAAACCCCCTTGAATGTCCTCATCCTACCTGAGCAGCACCCTCTTCAAAACCTTTGATGACTTCCTGTTTGCCAATTCTAAACTTGAAAGGTTTGTTTCTGTCTCTGGATGAGTCAAATTTCTTCCCGTTTTGGAGCATTCCTGTGGAAGCAAGAATAGGAAAGAGCTATCATTGTGGGTTAACTTCCAGTTGAGATTCAATGTGTCCAAATAGAATTCCTTTTCTGCACAAACCTGTTTCTTTTCCCAATCCTCATCTACCCTGTTGCCCAAGCAAGAAGACTGGACACGTCCCTGGTATCTCCTCCTCCCTCTCCCCAACCCCTGCCACACATACACTATCACCAAACCCCATATGTCTCTGCCATCCACCCAGTTCCTCCACTGGCTAGCCAATTAGTGATGGCCCACATGCTTTTATTTGCTGATAATTGAGCAAACTGCCAACACCACTGTGTGGTCTTGCCAAGTTACCACCATGTCTTACCTGTGGACAGGAACAACCTCCTAACTTGTCTTTATGCTGTGCTCTTACTCCTCCATTCCATTTCTCTACTCTAGACACTGACAGATTTTTTTTCTTTAAACACAAATCTGATCATATTAGTCCCTTGCTTAAAACACTTCAGTAGCTCCTCCAGACAGAATCCGAATGCCTACATTGCACACAGGCATTTCCCATTGCCTGACTCAAAGCCTTCTCTCTGCTCTCTCCTTCCCTCCCCTCCTCTGTATCCTATTCAGGTTACATTTTCTCAAATTTCTTTGCAGGCCACTTCCTCAGTTTCTTTTCCCAGGTTTTCCAGCCTAAGGTTGAGTCCTCATCTAAGGTTCCTAAAGTTTCCTCAAAATGCAAAGCTCAAAGGTCCTAGCATCCCCTGCAGCAGTGAACAGTGTAAGATGACCCAGGTGATCAGTGGTAGCTTCCAGATCCCATAAAAATGGGGCTGTTTGGGCCCGGGACACCCACGTGCTGTCTCCAGCAGTCTGGAGCATCACTCACTCTCCAGTTGCAGGTGTCTGGGCATCCCTGATATGCATGTGTTTTCTCAGTCCGCAGCCAAAGCTGTTTTCCTATTTTTACTTCTTTTTGGTAACTCTCACTCAAAGATCAGAGCTGCTGTAAATCATGCTATTCAGTGACTTCATCCTATAGCTGCTTTAGGACCACAGTAAGACCTGGCCTATAAGCTCAGAGACTGACTTCAAGCCTGGCATGAACTCTGTGTGATATTGAGCAAATCACTTCCTCTGTCTGGCCCTGATTTCCATATTTAGCATTGCAGGCTCTGCCAGTTTAGTGCCTGAGCATCTACGATTTCACTTCCGAATGCCTACAATTTAAATGTATGCTAGCGAAAGCATCTTATTTACCTACCTTCTGGATAGAAAAAATTGGGCACTTGCCCTAGGTTCTAAATGAAGCAAAGGAGAAAACCCTCTGCCTACACAGAGATATACACAGATGGATGTTACAGAGATGAACTACAACTCATGCTAAATACTCAAGTACACACAGAAACTTAGGCATGCTCACATGTACTTATGCACACACACTAGGGGGAAAAACCATGGTAGCCAAACAGATGATAAGAAAATATTTAGATACACAGATCTACATACATTCCCACAGATGTGTACTCTACACACACACACTCCATTTATAGAATGACTTTCTCATTCCCCAGTGGCTCAGGTTTCATGTGACTGACTCAACTTGAGACCATGTGGAGTTATCTATTAATGCAAGTTCAGTTAAAACCACATAGTTCAGAAACGGGCCTCTGTATGTATGGTTACTTCATTTGACAAAGATGCCAGTACAATGCATTAAATAAAGGATGGCTTCCTGAATTAATGTTGCTGGGTCAACTGTGTATCTATATGGGGAAAAAAAATCAAACTTCAACCTCTACCAAACCCATACACAAAAATCAATTCCAGATGAATCACAGACCTATATATGAAAGATAAAACAATAAAATGTTCCAAAACCACAAAATAATACCACTAATAAAGTATTTACTAGGTGCACACCTGTAGTCCCAGCTACTCAGGAAGCAGAGATGTGAGGATTGTGGTTCAAGGCCAGCCTGGGCAAAAAGTTAGTGAGACCCTGTTTCAAAACAGAAGCTGGGTGTCGTGGTACAGTCCTGTAATCCCAGCTAGGCAGGAGGTGGAGGTAAAGGGATGGCAGTCTAAGGCCAGTCCTGAGCAAAAGAGTTAAGAGTCTACCTAAAAAAACAAAAAAAAACCCTAAACTAAAAAGCAAAAAGGGTTGGGTTCAACTGGTAGAGCTGCTTGCTAGTGCATGAAGCTCTGAGTTCAAGACCTAGTACTGCCAGAAAAAAAAAAGTTTCTATAAGAAAATAAATAAATAAAAGAATATCCTCAGAACCTAGAAATAGTCAGATTTCTTTCTTTCTTTTTCTGGTGGGACTGGGGTTTGAATTCAGGGTTTTGCTCTTGCAAAGCAGGTGCTGTAACGTTTAAGTCACATCACCAGTCTGAAATGGATTTCTTGAGGTGAACATGGAAAGTATTAACCATAAAGGGAAAGATTAATAAGTATGATTTTATTAAAATTAAGAACTTCTGTCCAAGAGATATTATTAAGACCATAAAATAGCAAGCCACAGGAGAGAGAAAACGTTTGGTGTAGGTATAACAAACAAAAAATGCATATCCCAAATATACAAAGAACTCCTACAAATCAGTAAGAAAAAGACAATCTAATATTTAAACAACTTTTTAAGATTTATTATTATTTTGGTTTCTAGGGATTGAACCCATACTTGTGCATACTAAGCATACACTCTATCACTTAGCCACATCTGTAGCCCTCTTCAACCTAACTTTTGTAAATAGACAAAATTTGAGCAGTCTAAAGAGGATATCCAAACAGCAAGTAAGCACATGAAAAGGTGCTCAACTTCACGGTTAATAGGGAATTGCAAAACACACACACACACATGCACACACACACAAAATGAAAGACCATTAGGTACCCACAGAGTAGGCAAAAAAAAAAAAAAGAAAGAAAAGAAAAGAAGAAAAACCCCAACAATACAACAATAGCAAGGATTAGTGGGAACAGGGGAGAGCACAGGTATAAAGCCCTGCTCCCCAGCAATTCCACTCCAGTTCTATATCCAACAAAAACTTGTACATATGTATGCACGTATGTGCACTGAAAGCATCTATAAGACTATTAAAAGCAACACTATTCATGATAACCCAAAATTTTAAACAACCCAAGTGTTCATCAAAGGTAAAAAGGATAAATAAACTGTAGTCCATTCATACAATGGAATGCTGTAGAGGAATAAAAAGAACAGACCTCTGTTAAACCTCTGAATAAATCTCACAGACATAGTATTAAGTGAAATAAGCCAAACAAGAGTACATACTCTGATTCTATTTATATGAAATTTGAAAACACCAATCCACAGGGACAGAAATCAGAGTAATAGTTACCTTCAGGAAGGTCAAATGATTGGGAGGAAGCATGAGAGAGCCTGCTGAGGTGCTGGGAATATTTTGTTTCTTTGGGTGGTGAAAACATAAGTGTGATCATTGTGAAATAATTGAGGCTGCAGTGTAGTTAAAAAGTGGTAGAGCACTTGCCCAGCATGTGTGAGGCCCTTGGTTTTAACCACAGCACCAAAAAAAGGAGGTAGGGGGCTGGACATTGTGGCTCATGCTTGCAATCCCAGCTACTTGGGATACAGAGCTCAGGAGGATTGCAGTTTGAGGTCAGCCCGGACAAAATGTTAGTGAGACCCCCATCTCAACCAACAGGCTATGTGTGGTGGTACATCTGTCGTCCTAGCTACCAGCAGGCAGATAGGAGGATCAATGTATAAGGCCACCCCAGGCAAAAAGTGAGACCCTATTTGAAAAATTGCCTAAAAGCAAAATGGGCTAGAGATTTGACTCAAATAGTAAAGTGCCTGCCTAGCAACAACAGGCCCTGAGTTCAAACCCCAGTACTGCAAAAAAAAAAAAAAAAAAAATTTCATTGAGCTGCACATGTACAATCACATTCTCTACTTCTCTGCTGTATCTATATTTAATTTTTATAAAATTTACCAAAAGTCCTGCTGTGTTTGGTAAGATGCCTCTCCTCAAACCAGAGTTACTCTTAGACAATATTAGCATTTAATGCACATTGCCTGCTTTAGGTATATACAGTGAAAAGACTTTGCAAAAGGATGTTGTGGTTTCAGTAACTTGATAAACACTGGTCTGTCCACAGCACATAGAACAGATAAATCAATTACCCAGGTCGGAGGCCCCAGAGGGCTATAGTAATTAGGCCACATCACCAGGAGATAAAACAACTCCAGCTCACTGACATCAGTGACTGGCGACACAACTGTTAAGAAACATCCACGTGTCTGCTAGAATCAACCTGGTGCTTCACACTGGTCCAGAGAACTGCTAAAAATGGCCCCATCTGAATATGTCCCAGGAATTGAGCTGGCCTTGTTGTATGCTAAGTGGCTGTCACCCACAGTTTACCATATTAGGAAGCAGGTCACAAGGCAGAGCCCTCACACTTCTGGGAACAAACACCTGCTTGTGACTTCCTGCCAGCGGCCCTGAAGAACTCATCTAGAATGTCCCTTGACCCACCTGGCTTGAGATATACACAGCATCCAAGGAGGGGAGAACAGAGATGTGGGGCTCTCTTCTGAGCTGCCCCAGCACCCAGAGACAAGCGCTGCCACCGTCCCACCCCACATGGCCTCTGGTGGCTTGTCTGTCTTCTCTCTGTTCCCACCACAGACCCAGTAAAGTAGGAATCCTCCTTTCTCATCTCTGTGCCCCAGTACCCAGCACAGCATCTTGTACATTTTGACCAATAACAGCAGGCTGAATTGAACAGACTATTTCTTTCTCATTTCTTTCCTCCCTCCTTCCCTCCCTCCCTCCCTCCATCCCTTCCTTCCTTCCTCTCTCCCTCCTTTCTTCATTCCTTCCTCCCTTCTTTCCTTCCTTTCTTCCATTTCCTCCCTCCCTCCCTTCCTTCTTTTCTTTCTTTCTTTTTATAGATAGGATCTTGCTATGTAGCCCAAGGTGGGCTCAAATTTGATATCTTCCTGTTCAACTCCCAAGTGCTAGGATTGCAGACATGTGCCACCACAACTGGTTGAACAGTCTGTTTCTGAAAAGAGAAAGGAAATCTTGAGGAGGCCAAGCTTCTCTCTGTGAATGACACTAGGATGCAAAGGGAGTTTCTCAGAGCTTTCAGGAGAGTTATAAACGTCAAACAGAACCAGGAAGCTTTAGCCAAAACCATAATTGCCACCCTGCCCCCAATGAGAGAAGGAGACTGGAGAGAGGCTGGCTATACAATGGTCTTTGTGAATATAGTGGGGAGAAGTGGACTGACCACAGGGAAAGCTGGCTGCCTTGGGCTTCTGGCTTGATCTAGGGACAGAAGAGCTCTGGAGAGGTGCTCAGAGGACAGCCCTGCCTTGGGAGGAGCAGGCCTGGGTGAGGGCAGAGGGAGGAGGCCTACCTGTGTAGTGTACCACACATGTCTGGCCCTTCTTGGGGAATGTTCTTCCTGTAAGGAGACACAAGCACAGATAAAGAAGTGGGCTGTTAGAAACACTCACCAGGTACATTCACGTGTGATCATGACCAAGAACTCAGGCCCATAGTCCCCTCCATACCACAGAGATGTCTGTGCCTCTGTGCCTTGTGTGAGCCAGAACCAGTCACCTCACTTTCTGGCCTAGATTCAAACTTTATGCCATTGACTTCCTCACTTCCCAGTTTCACCCCTTTCTTTGATTGCTCCTTTCTCTCTTCCACAGACATTTGTGGATAACCTACTATGTGCCAAGCCTGGACTAGATTCCAGAGGTACAGCTCAATCTATGAACTCATGGGGAAGTTACAGAAATAGACACATAAATCCTGTGTCTATAAGGCGGACTGCTGGCTGCTATCAAGGTTGAATAAACACAATCATTCACAACTATTTACTGAGTACCTATTATGTACCAGGCCTTGCTGTTCAGGGCTACAGCAGTGAACAACATAGACAAGTTCCTGTTCTTTTGTAATTTATATTCTAATGGAGGAAGACAATACTCAAATAAACAAGACAATTTTGGTTTATAATAAGTCCTCCCAAGAAAATAAACAGAATGGTGAGTTAAAGAGAGACATAATGAACTGGCAATTTTAGAAAAGGTAGTCCAGGAGGGCCTCTTGGAGGAAGTGACATTTGCGCTGAGATTTGAGGGAAGATGGAGGAACCAGTGCACAGATCTTGAGGCAGAAAAAGACTGGTGTACTAGCACAATAGAAAGGAGGCTAGGGGGCGTGGCTCAAGTGGTAGACAGTCTGCTTAGCATGTGTGAGACCCTGAGTTGAAACCCCATTACTGCCAAGAAAAAAAAAAAGCCAATTTTTTAAAAAAGGAGGCTAGGTGACTGGAAAGGACGGGAGGAGAGAAGTGGGAAAGAGATAGATCACGCAGGGCTTGTTTGCAGAGTTAGGTTTAATACTAAGTGCAATAGGAAACCAACCACTGGAAGGTTTTAAGCAAGAGAATGACATAATCTGAATTAAGATTTTATAAAATCACTCTGGCTGCTGTGTGTGGGATGGACGGTTAGACATCTGTTGCAATAATCCAGACAAGAAATCAATGATGGCATGAATTAAGGTGGTGGCAGCACAGAAGAGTGGAATAGTTTGGAGATATATTTTGGAAGTGGAGCAGACGGGGCATGCAAATGGATTGGAGATGGGGCTGGAGATGAAGGGAAAGGCAGAAGCAAGAATAATGCTTGGGGTTTCAGTCTGAGCAATTAGGACGGCTGGTGGGGCTGTTTCTTGAGATGGGAAAGACTGGGGAGGAACAGATTTGTGCGGGTGGCAATCTTCAGACACCTCTTAGACATTTGAGTTTATATTGCAAGAAGGCAGATGAAAATCTGCACTGGAGGGATAAATCTGAGTGGAATTTGAAGCTATGGGGTTGGATCATGAGCTTGGAAAGGTTAACCCAGACAACATTTAGAGGACTGGGGGAGCCTGAAGGAGGAAGCAACCAAGTGACCGAGGAGTCAGCCAAAGCATCATAGAGTGTTAATGCTTAATCTGGGCCTTAAAAGCTGAGTAGGAGTATGCCAGAGGAAGTAAAGGGATATATTCTGGGAAAAGGGAAACACATGTAAGACATTTTCACAGGGTCCAGGGCTGGGAAAGTGGCTCAGTGGTAGAGCAGCTGGCTAGTTATGTGTGAGGCCCTTCATTGATTCCCAGCACTGCCCTCCACCCCCCAAAAAAGAAAAAGCCTAGAGTCTAGCCAAAGTAAGATCGTGTCTGTTTTCACCCTTGTAACCCTAGGGTCCAGCACACAGTACACGTTCCATAAATATTTGCTAAATGAGTGGCGTGTTTAACAATTTGCAGGCAGCTTGGCAAAGCTGGAGAAGTTGGTGGTGGGTGTAGGGATGGTACTGAGAGGAAGCTCAGGGTGGAAGGCTGAAATAGCCCATGTCACTAAGAGGCAGACTGTCTGCAGAAGGAGAGGGAAGATGCGTCACCTCAAGGGTGATCCGGGTAGTGGCTGGTACTTTCAAGGACCACTGCCTTTCAGCAGGGAGGTTCCTGGAACCAAGAAGCCCTTCTGGGGAGGAAGTGACAACAATATTTAACGGGAAGTTTGCCTGTCAAGCCCTGCAGGTATAGAGGCTTGGGGACTGAATCAAATTTTACTTAAGAAATAAAGAAATAGCTATTCCTTGCACATCCACACAGGAAACAGGGAACTCCAGAGGAGCACTTGGGGGTGCAAGGTGAGGAGTGTGAGTTCTGTTTTGGACTTGCTGACTCTAATGTGTCCTGGGCGGTCCAGGCAGGTCTAGCAGCAGGTCCAAAACCTGGGTTTTGAGGCTTAAATGTGGAGTCCATAGAGATGGACAGGATGGTCAGGGAGGCTGAATGGAACTGGGACGATGAAGTGAGGTGCAAAGGCGATGGCGGGAGCGCTACCCGCTTCCCAGACTGGCTCTGTCCCCACAGCTTGCCACTGTCCCGCCCGCGGGGACCGCCCGACGGGGAGGCCAGACGGGGTGGGGCGCGTTAGAAGGAGGTTCCCGGAGCAAAAGAGACCCCAAACCAAGTCCTTCCTTTGGTTTCCAGAGCTCACTAAGCAGGGCAAGGAGAGCAGAGCCGAAACCCGACCCTGGGAAGTCAGCATTGGCGGATAATCGAGCGGTTGCAGGCGAGACGGCAGCAGTCGCGGCCCGGGGCGGTGGCGGGCCGCAGACCCCCGCCTTGGGGCCGCCGCCTTCATTCCCTAGGTGAGCGGGCGCGGAAGGGGATGGTGGAGGATTGTAGGCTGGGCCCCCAGGAAGCTCGTCGGGGGTCTCTCGCAGCCGCCCGCACCCTGGGCCTGGCCCCTCTCTTCGCCCCCTTCCTTTTCCCCCAGCCAGCTCGGAATCAGACCTCTGCCCGCGGGCTCCGCCCCGGGACCCCTCCTCCTCCCCCGGCTCCCCTGCCCGGTACCGTCTCCTGGGGATATGGTCTCGATCTCCACGCCCATCGCGGTCCCACAGGCCCCGCCTCCGGGGGTCCTCGCCGCTGCCCCGACCCCGGCTCGGCTCCGGCCCGGCCCCGCAGGCGCTCCGGCTCGCCTCCCCGCCGCCACTGCAGAGCCGGAGGAGGTGCGGCTGGAGCCGGGACCTGCGCGGGGAGGGGCCACCGGGAAGGGGGCGGCGGGGTGGAGCCGTGAGGAAAGGTGGGGTCGGCCGGGGTGGGGCCCGGGGGAAGAGACCCTGACGTGGCTGCTCCCCAGCCTGGCCAGACTGACTAATTATCTGTAACCCACAGGCTTGGGGAGGTGGTGCAGGCGCTCGCGCATCCTCGCATCCATCCATCCATCCGTCTATCCATTCAATACACATTTATTTAACACCAACTCTGTGCTAAGCTCCGGGCAGCCAATCCGGTCCTACAGACTAGTAGAAGACCAGCAATTAAACTAACATTTTAATTAGATGTGCTCAGTGCCATGGAGTTCAAAGCACTGTGGAAGAACCAGAGAAGTACCTACCCTGGCTAGGCTTCCCGGATCTGTAGGAGCAGGGGGCTGGGAGGGGGAGGACACCAGTTACTGCTGACTGTCCACCCATCCACCTTTATTAAACGCCTGGGCACATCCCGCATAGTTCTACTGCACGCACTTGTATTGGGCTGTCACTTTTCTAAGCAAAGAACTGCGTCCTGGGGACATCAGGGAATTGTCCTGCAGAAACTAGCTGATGACACAGACAATAACCGCATGGAGCACAGAGTGCTGTGGAAGGAACCAACGAAACCTATCCTTTACCGCCACCCAAAACAAATCCAGGAATCTTGAAAGATATCTTTTCTTCCCCCCACCCTCCCCGCTTTTTCCCCTTGTTGCTGGGAATTGAACGCAGGGCCTTCATACATGCAAAGTTAATCGGGGCTGTACCTCCAACCCTTAGAAAGATATATTTGGAGAAGGTAACATTTTCTTGAAAGACGAAGGAGATTTTAAGAAACATTCTCTTTTTCTCCTCATTCTTACCTGCATTCTTCCAAAAATTCAATATGAATTTACTTCTGACAGGTGACGCTGGAACGTAGGTATAGGGAGAAAAGCCTGAGCAAAGGTGCAAAGAAAAGGCCCTCGAAGTGTTCTTCTTCCATTTTCCCACCTTGCACTCTCCCAGTTGGCTAGGTCACAGATGAGGTTTTCAGCATCCTTGAAGGACTGACTTTGATCCTCAGGGAAGATGATGTGTCAGCTTCTGAAATCCCCCATGGGCTGATCCAAGGTGTGGCCCAGAGCCTAGAGACACACAAGCTTCATGGGCCCTGGGAAGGTACATTTGTAATCTGAACCGGCCTATGAAGCGGCTTCATTTGAATGCACAATAAGAATACTGTGTACGATAGAGACATTGTGTTTTGTGCACAATCCAAACATTTTTGGAAGGAGATTTTATGGGATTTTAAAGGTGACCCTGACTCACTCCTCCCAAAAAGAACAAAATTAAGACATCATTTTGACTCCAGGCTTCCGACTTTTTCCTAGACTAAGAGAACCGATGAGAATTGGGAGAAGGGGCTGCAGCTTTGAGAGGTAGAAATAGTGGTTAGCTTGTTGTGGGTAGTTTCACGGGAACCACAACTCCCAGGGATCCCTGAGGCAAAGCCCGAGCTTATTGGTCAGTAGGAAGGGCCCTTTTCTAACGTGACACATGCGAAAGCCAATTAGCAGGGGGCATTGCGGAGCACGCCCAGTCTCTAGTCACCTATCAGAGGGCTGAGGGGCCTCTGCTTCCGTTAGCTGCCCGGGACTTCTGACCTGTGGTCCTGACTGGGGCGACTCCCGGGACCCTGATCTATTTGTGGGGCAGTGAAACCAAAGGTATTTTGTCTCCTGTGCTACCGGGCCTGGAGGATGTGGAGAGGCGGAGGTGGGCTGTGCGGGAGTTGGGCGGCCCTTGGGGAGCTGGGGACGAATATCTAAGCATCGGGAGAAGTTGGGGAGAATGGGGCCCGCGTGTGGAGGATAAGGACTCATCCCGGTGTGGGTTTAAGCGAGTGAATATACTTCTTGTAACTCTGGAAATATAGTTTAAGAAAGTCATGGGCAATAAAGCAAATGCTTTATGCGTAAAAACCCTTATCGATAAAGTAGGGTAAAGTTGGCTACCACCAGGTGTCTCAAAAATGAGTTCAGTAAATTATGTAATTTCAATTTGTGAAGTGGCTTCTAAAAACAATCTGTAAAACTTTAACATAGGAAATGCTAATATGTAATCTTAAGTGAAAAAGATGTGATACAAAGTGGTACAGTGTTAAAATTTTGTAGGAGGCCATTGACTTGGACGAGGCTCCTGCCCTGGGCTGAAGATCGAACCAACAGAGTGTAATCACCGTAGCTGAATTTGGCTAATTGAAGGAGGCTTGTAACCAGCTAAGCTGAATCCAATTATGTGTCTCTGTACCTCACTTTCCTTTCTATAAATGCTATCAGGTGATGTTGGACGTCCCAGATCCTATTCTGGTTCTGGGGACTACCTGATTCTTCAGTTGTTTTTGTGCCAGGCGTCGGTGGCTCCTATTTGTAATCCTAGCTACGCAGGAGGCAGAGATCAGGAGGATCGCGGTTCGGAGCCAACCCGGGCAAATAGTTTGTGAGACCCTATCTCGAAAAAACCCTTAACAACAACAACAACAAAAAAAGAGGGGATTGTAGAGTGGCTCAAGGTGAAGGCCCTGAGTTCAAAATCCATACCACAACAACAACAAAAAAGTTTTTTTTTGTAATAATTGCTGAAATAAACTGCTAAAAGGAAAGTTACTTTACTTTTAACAACATTAGGAATGAAAAAGTTTAACAAACCAACGTATTACATTAAAAAAAACTGGAGGTATGTAGTTGTAATTTTCTTTGCATGAGGTTTTTCGTAAATTTTTTTTTTTTTTTTTTGGACACAGGGTCTTACTATATTGCTCATGTTGGCCTCCAGTTCTCCATCCTCCTGCCTCATCCTCCCCATTCTCACCTGTGCCTTTCTTTTTTGTGGCGGTTCTGAGGTTTGAACTCAGGGCTTTGTTCTTGCTAGGCAGGCACCCTGTGCCTTTCTTTCTTTCTTTTTTCAAATAAGTGTAAAGAACTTGAAATTATTTTATGGTGGAAGCTTGGAGAGTGTATACCTCTGTTTAAATTTACTGGAAATGTTCCAATTCATCTCAGTCTCTTGATTCTGTTATAAAACAGCCTTCTCTGGTTGTTTTTAAAGATTAAAAACAAGAATTATAGCTGGTGGAATGGCTCAAGCAGTAAGAGCGCCTGTCTAGCAAGTGTGAAGCCCTGAGTTCAAACCCCAGTGCCACAAAAAAAAAAAAAAAAAAAAACCAGAAGAATTAAATGGTCATATATTGAACACCAGGTCTGGTTCTGACCACCTGTTCCCTATACTAATACAGTGGTCTTTAAAAGATACAGAATAATTGGGGAATGCCTGAAGATCATCTGAACCTTGGTCCTCTTGGCTCTGATAGTTTACGTGGAGAGTCTCCACTAATTGGCTTTACTAACCCTATGCCAGGACTCCCAAGTCCTTACCTATGATTGCCTATGATACTTTGCTACCCTACAGACAATTTGCATGAAGTACATTTTTTTTTGTTGTTGGGACTGGGATTTGAACTCAGGGCTTCTTGTTTGCAAAGCAGGTGCTCTACCATTTGAGCCAGATCTCCAGTCCATTTTGCTGTGGTTATTTTGGAGATGGATCTCAAACCATTTGCCCAGGCTGGCCTTGAACCTTCATCCTCCTGACCTCAACCTCCCATATGGCTAGAATTACAGGTGTGAGCCACTGGTGCCCAGCTATGAAGCACATTTAATACTAAATTTATCATATACTACACACCCTTCTTACCCTTGAGTCACACCTGCCTTCTGTATCTCTGGTTAATGGTTCAGCAATTTCACAAACTGAAAATCTGGGTGTCATCCTAATTTTTTCTTCCTCACCACTCTCATCCTATCTGATTTATCTATCTGGTCCATCAGCTGGAGAAGCATCTTCTGAATCTGTTTTTTTCTCTGTTGAAATAGCCATAAACTTGGTTCACTTTTTCATTGTGGCATTCAGACTATTTCATGGTCCCTGTTAGCTTTCTTCTCAGGTCATCCTGTGTATTGTCACATGAATGTGTACTGCTTCCCCCAATTCCTCTATAGGCCCTTTATGATCATAGAGATCAACTCGGAAAGGTATATCCATAACAGATCATCTATGACCTTAAATGTCCTGCTAGTGAAAGAACTTTAAATTATCTTTTTGTAGGTCTTCGGCATGGTAGGCATAAAATCTCCCACTGTGCCCTTGAAAGAACAGAAGGGCCAAAAACAAACCTGAAAAACCTTGTGCTTTTTTTTTTTTTCCCCCTCTCTCTTTTTTTGGGGGGTTGGGACTGGGGTTTGAACTCAGGGCTTTGTGCTTGCAAAGCAGGTGCTCTATTGATTGAGCCACTCTGCCAGTCCTTTTTTACATTGGATATTTTTGAGATAGGGTCCCATGTACTATTTGCCCAGGGCTGGCTGTGAACTATGATCCTCCTGATTTCTGCCTCCTGAGTAGCTAGGATTATAGGCATAAGCCACTGGCACCTGGCTCCATGTGCTTTTTTTTAAAAGATAATTGTGCCTAATAACATGTAACGTCCAGGTGGTGTTGGAAAGAAGACACTAGTGTAGAACTCTCATTGTTCTACACTAATGAAAAGGGAGAGATAGGACTGCACTAGCATGGAAGTAGAAAGTAATAGAGAAGATACTTGTAATTGTTACACTTGTGAGAAAAATACACCAAATTTCTTGTTACTGAAGACAAAAATTACTAAAATTTTACAAAAAGTACTAAAATTTATTATTCTAAAAACCTCTCTAAATTTATCATGTTTGTTTTTCCCTTATTCACAAATTCTTTTCTTGTACTATTCTGTGCACACACACCCTCACATTAGACTGAATTGGATGGCCTAAATGTCATATATAAATTGTTATTCATACAATTAGCCCATTAGGAATTTTTCTGCTCAGGAAACTGTATCATGCATTATTTATCAATAAAAATCTTTTAAAAGTGCATAAATAGATATTAGAGAAAAACAAATACTATAGAAGACCAGTGGGATTGCAGTTTTCATCATTAGTAATGACAGGGGACTTCTTTTTCCATTTAGCAAACCACCATAGAACCACTTCAACCTGACTGTATAGAAGTATAACAGATCATTCCTTTTTACAACAAGATCTAAGGATAAGCATGAAGCTAGCAAGAAGACAGGAAGAATTCACAGATAAGTTAAAAGCAGATTACCAGGCTGTCTGGTAGAGAATTTATTTCATTGGATTTAGAATCTGAAGAATTTCTCAAGTTCTGTGTTTGACGCTTATTAAACAGAGCTGAAAGTGTCCATTTAGTCTCGGTGACAGGGATGGCACTGGTATATTGGTGAGAGCTGCTTTACAGAGCAGACTGGACAAGGAGTCCCATTTGGAGTGGGGTAAGAAGTAGGTGGTGAAGAAATGGGCATGTAAGAGAGATGATTTTTGATAACTAACAAGATTAAACATTGATTTATACACTTTTTCATGCATGCTGGCTATCAAACCCAAGGCTTCTGGGCTAGTGCTCTACCCCTGAACTACACTCCCAGACCATATATGTTTATTGATCATCTGATTAGGTTTTTGTTTTGTTACTATTTATTTTGTTTTGACAGTACTGGGATTGAACTCAGGACCTGGCACTTGCTAAACAAGTGCCTACCACTTGAACCACTCCATTGTTTTTCCTGTTGATTGTGGGGTATGAGGGGGTGGAGACAGCGGATGTAGCTCAGTGGTAGAACTATTGCTTAGCATATGCTAGGTCCTGGCTTTAATCCCCAGAACTGCCAAAAATCAAACAAACAAGCCTCTTTGGCCATTTAAAAAAATTTAGGTTATTTTTAAGTCAAAAAGTTCTTTATAAAGTCAGTATATTTTTATACTTAAGTATTTTTCTTTCAGTTACAAAGACTATTTGAGTACATGCTTATAAGTAAAAGACCCCATTTTGTCTTTTACACTGCCCCATCCCATCTCAGTATCTATCTACTGTGAATGAATGGTTTGTTATGTATCATTCCTGAATTTTTTCTGCATCTTTATGTAAAAATATCCATACATGCATGTCTATAGACATATAAGGTAGATATTTTTCATAAATAGTCACATACTAGCTGTATTAAATGGGTTATCTTGCTAATTTCACTGCTCTTTTTGGGAGGGAAATTATTCTATAGCAATACATATAGAAGTTATTTTGTTCGAGTTTGGGTTCTTGTTACCCAGGCTGGATATATTGCATATAATTTAATTTAGAGGTTTTCTACCTCATGCCAGTTGGAGGTGACAACTTGACTTTGCTTTTTAAAAAAAAAAAAAAAGTTTTTCCTATGTTGCCCAGTCTAGTCTCAAATTCCTGGGCTCAAGTGGTCCTCCTGCCTGGGCTTCCCAAGTAAGTGGGATTATATTATAGGCATACTTCATCATGCTTTTTTTTTTCTTTTCTGTCTGGTACTGAGGGTTGAATTCAGGGCCTTACACACTAGGCAACTTTGCTTTCAACTCATCCTCACAATGTTTGAATAATTCCCAGTTAGAACACTTACTTAAAAACTCATGGCTAAGCCGGATGCCAGTGACTCAAGCTTGTAATCCTAGCTACTTAGAAGGCAGAGATCAGGAGGATCGCAGTTTGAAGCCAGACCGAGCAAATAATTTGAGAGAGCCTATTTCGAAAAGAGGGCTGGTGGAGTGGCTCAAGGTGTAGGCCCTAAGGTCAAGCCCCAGTACCACAAAAAAATAAATAAGTAAAAAGGTCATGGCTAGTGGGCACTGGTGGCTTACATCTATAATTCTAGCTACTTGGGAGGCTGAGATTGGGAGGGTTGTGGTTCAAGACCAGGCCAGGCTCAAAAAACCAAAAATCGTATGTTCTCCCTCATATGTGGACATTAGATCAAGGGCAAACACAACAAGGGGATTGGACTATGAGCACATGATAAAGCAAGAGCACACAAGGGAGGGGGTGAGGATAGGTAAGACACCTAAAAAATTAGCTAGCATTTGTTGCCCTTAACGCAGAGAAACTAAAGCAGATACCTTAAAGCAACTACCCAATAGGAAAAGGGGGAACAGGTACTAGAGAAAAGGTTAGATCAAAAAGAATTAACCTAGAAGGTAACACCCACGCACAGGAAATCAATGTGAGTCAATGCCCTGTATAGCTGTCCTTATCTCAACCAGCAAAAACCCTTGTTCCTTCCTATTATTGCTTATACTCTCTCTACAACAAAATTAGAAATAAGGGCAAAATAGTTTCTGCTGGGTATTGGGGGGGGAGGGAGGGGGCGGAGGGGGTGGGGGCAGGGGGGAGAAATGAACCAAGCCTTGTATGCACATATGAATAATAAAAGAAAAAGGAAAAAAAAAAAAAAAGAATGGTGCTATCATTGACAGAAATGGAGACAGCTGCTGTCAAGAAAAAAGAATTTTCTTCTTTTATATGTATTAAATTTGAAATAAATGTGGACAAGGCTGATATTAACCACAATGTAAAGCCCTCCATTATTTGAGTGCCATTGTGACTCAGCAAGGAAACCAGGAGGAGCAGTAGAAATTTGAGTGGATCACATAGGATGTGATAATTAAAACCATGGGAGTGGATAAGAAAAGAGAAAAATGATGAGAACTGAGCACCAGACTTTTGGTTCTATCCACATAAAGTAAGTTCCTTCCTGTAGGAGAATCATGAGATAAATTGTGTCCATGGAATACCTTGCAGGTGTTTGGGATACCAGTGTACCTTTTAAAAAGATTAAACCAGATGCATATTACTAACCTGAAAAAATATTCATGTTTTAAAATAGATCAATGAAAGATACATAACACGATTCCTATGGTGGTCCTTTGCTGTTTCTTTAAAACCCTTCCTAGTTTGGGGGAGAGGCAGACCCTCATTCCCTATTACAGAAATGGTGAGGAAATCCTCCCTTCCCCCTCTCCCCCCCCCCACCCCCAGGCACCTAGGGCAAGTAGGCTCAGCCAGCCGGTAGCTTCCCCAACTGAATTTTAAGCAATTGCTGCCATCTCTTTCCATAATTCTTTTGATCTTGTAAAACTGAAACTCTGTGTCCTTTAAAACAGTAATGCCCCATTTCCCCTCCTCCTATCCCCTAGCAGCCACCCTTCTACTTTCTGTCTCTTGAGGTTTCTTTTTTTCCCTTAAGTTAACTAACCATAGTGTTTTCTGTTGCTAATACCCAATAATACCCAAGAACTGTAACTTAAATTCCATTTTTTCTTAAAAAAAAAAAGTCTTTGATATATTTTTGTAGGTTTCTTTAACAATTTCCAAGACTGCACACCAAATTGCTAAACATGCTTTTATCAAGGTCTTAAGATTTGGTGAGGTGGATAAACAGGGGTGAAAGAAAGTTTGCTTTGCTTTGGACACTTCTGGAATCTTTGAGTTTCATTGAACTGAGCATGTGTTTCTTTTTTTTTTTTTTAATTATTTTATTATTCATATGTTCATACAAGACTTGGGTCATTTCTCCCCCAGGTCTTTGATAATATTTTTGTAGGTTTCTTTTAACAATTTCCAAGACTGCACACCAAACTTGCTAACATGCTTTTATAAGGTCTTAAGATTTGGTGAGGTGGATAAACGGGTGAAAAGAAGTTTGCTTTGCTTTGGACGACTTCTGGAATCTTTTGAGTTATTCATTGAATGAGGCTGTGGTTCTTTTTTTTTTTTTTTAATTTATTTTATTATTCATATGTTCAACAAACTTGGGTCATTTCTCCCCCGGCCCCCACACCTCCCTGACCACCCACTCGCCCTCCTTCCCTCCACCTCAATACCCAGCAGAAACTATTTTGCCTTATCTCTAATTTTGTTGAGAGAGAGTATAAGCATAATAGGAAGGAAACAACTGTTTTTGCTGGTTGAAGATAAGGATGCTATACAGGGAGTGACTCACATTGATTTCCTGTGCATGTGTGTTACCTTCTAGGTTAATTCTTTTTGATCTCACCTTTTTCTAGTTCTGGTCCCTTTTCCTATTGGCTCAGTTGCTTTAAGGTATCTGCTTTAGTTTCTCTGATTAAGGGCAACAAATGCTAGCTAATTTTTAGGTGTCTTACCTATCCTCACCCCTCCTTATGTGCTCTTCTTTTATCATGTGCTCAAAGTCCAATCCCTTGTTGTGTTTGCCCTTGATCTAATGTCCACATATGAGGAGAACATACGATTTTTTGGTCTTTTGGCCAGGCTAACCTCACTCAGAATGATGTTTCTCCAATTCCATCCATTACCAGCGATGATAACATTTCATTCTTCTTCGTGGCTGATAAATTCCATTGTGTATAATACACATTTTCTTAATCCATTGTCAGTGGTGGGCATCTTGGCTGTTTCCATAACTTGGCTATGTGAATAGTGCGCCATAACATGGATGTGCAGGTGCTCTGGAGTAACCTGTGTCACCAGCTTTTGGGTATATCCAAGAGTGGTATTGCTGATCAAATGGTAGATCAATGTTTAGCTTTTTAAGTAGCCTCCAAATTTTTTCCAGAGTGGTTGTACTAGTTTACATCCCTAACAGTGTAAGAGGGTTCCTTTTTCCCCACATCCTCGCCAGCAGTTTGCTGATGATGGCTATTCTAAAGGGGTGAGGTGGAATCTTAGTGTGGTTTTAATTTGCATTTCTTTATTGCTAGATGGTGAGCATTTTTTCATGTGTTTTTTTGGCCATTTGAATTTCTTCTTTGAGAAAGTTCTGTTTTAGTTCACTTGCCCATTTCTTTATTGGTTCATTAGTTTTGGGAGAATTTAGTTTTTTAAGTTCCCTATATATTCTGGTTATCAGTCCTTTGTCTGATGTGTAAGCTGGCAAATATTTCTCCCACTCTGTGAGTGTTCTCACAGTTTTGAGGTTTAGAGACCATTTCTTTTGATGAAACAGAAGCTTTTAGTTTTTATGAGGTCATTTATCTATGCTATCTCTTAGTTGCTGTGCTGCTGGGTTCCGTTGAGAAAGTTCTTACCTATACTACTAACTCCAGAGTATTTCCTACTCTTTCCTGTATCAACTTTAGAGTTTGGGGTCTGATATTAAGATCTCTGATCCATTTTGAGTTAATCTGGTATAGGTGATATACATGGATCTAGTTTCAGTTTTTTGCAGACTGCTAACCAGTTTTCCCAGCAGTTTTTTGTTGAAGAGCTGGTATTCTCCATCGTATATTTTTAGCTCTGCTGTCAAAGACAAGTTGGTTATAGTTGTGTGGCTTATATCTGGGTCCTCGTTCTGCTCCACTGGTCTTCATGTCTGTTTTGTGCCAGTACCATGCTGTTTTTATTGTTATTGCTTTGTAATATAGTTTGAAGTCAGTATTGTGATACTCCAGCCATTGTTCATTTGACTGAGTATTGCCTTGGCTACTTGCTTTGTGTTTCATATAAATTTCACGGTAGATTTTTCAATCTGCTTTAATTGAATGTCATTGGATTTTGATGGGATTGCATTAAACATGTAGATTACTTTTGAGAGTTATAGACATTTTTTGCTATGTTGATTCTACCAATCCATGAGCATGGGAGCTCTCACTTTCTATAGTTTCCTCAATCTCTTTCTTCAGAGGTTTATAGTTTTCCTTGTAGAGGTTGTTCACATCCTTTGTTAGGTTTACACCTAGGTATTTGATTTTTTTTTTAGGCTATTGTAAATGGAATTGTTTTCATACATTCTTTTTCAGTTTGAGCATGTGTTTCTTTAGTAATTCAAATGCCTTGGAGATGGGAAGATAAAACTTACACAGAATAAGAAGTTGGTGCCTAACCTACTTTACATTATTGTGAAGGATGGGTGCAAAGATCAAATTCAATAAGGAAGGTGAAAATGTTCTGAAAATACCTAAGTGCTTTTGGATGTGATGAAGTAGAAATAGAAACAGTAATTTTTGAGTGTCATTTCAGTAGAGAGGTGAAAGCCATTTTGGAAATAGTTGAAGTAAATGCTAATAGTCAGAGACATGAATATGTTATTCTTTGATTTGACAGTGAAAGGATGAATAGAAATTAGATGATGGAGTAGGCTTTTCCCAAGTTTTTGACTTTAAATTTTTCCAACTTAAATAACAACACCACCTAAGTCTGAATTCAGTAGTTATTAACAATAGGTCGTTCTACTACATAAACACAGTGCCATGTTAAAATTAGTAACTCCACAATATCTTTCTCCACTTCTAAAACTATCCTTTTTTTGGTAGAAAACTTTATTTCCTCAATTCAAGATCTAACCAAAGTTTATACATCGCATTTGCTTATTATGGCTTAGTCGTCTCTTAACTGACAACATTCTTCCTGTCCTTTTATCCCCCAACAGTGTTAACCTGTGAAGGGTCCAAGTCAGTTATCTCATAAAATGTCCTACATTCTGCATTTGTCTGATTATTTTTTTCAAGGTGTAACTTTCCTTCATAACCATTTCAGATAATCTTTATAGAAAGGATGGAGCTGGGGAAAGGAAAACTGCTCAGGACTGGACTGAACACGCTTTATCAAGCAATACACCCAACCCATGGCCTTGCCTGGACTGACGGGAATCAAGTAATCTTGACTGATTTACAGCTTCACAGTGGAGAGGTCAAGTTTGGGGACTCCAAAGTCATTGGGCAGTTTGACCATGTCTTTGGGCTCTCTTGGGCCCCACCTGGCAATGATATGCCTACTCTGCTTGCTGTTCAGCATAAGAAGCATGTCACTGTGTGGCAGCTGTGTCCCAGCACCTTGGGGTCAAGCAAATGGACAATATCTGAGACCTCTGAGATTAAGGAATCACTCCCTGTTCTTCCCCAGGGCTGTGTGTGGTGCCCAAACAGTGCTGTCTTTACTGTGTTGACTGCAAAGGATGTCTCCGTTTTTCCTAAGGTTTATTGTAACACTTCCCGGGTAAAACTGAACATCAACACCCAGAGCCGCATTCACTGTGCATGTTGGACCCAGGATGGCCAGCGACTGGTGGTGGCAGCAGGCAGTAGCCTTCATTCTTATATTTGGGACAGTGCTGGGAAAACTCTCCACAGGTGCTCCTTCTGCCCAGTGTTTGATGTGGACAGCTATGTGCGCTCCATCATAGCCACTGTGGACTCACAGGTTGCTATAGCCACTGAGCTTCCACTGGGTAAGATTTGTAGTTTAAATGCAGCTGAAACCTTTGACATCCCACCCAATGGCGAAGACATTGACCTAAATATTCTTCCAATCATTGGTGAAATGCCCTGTATGGGAAAGGGGGCAATTACTTCTGAAGCAAATTCTGAAATCTCAGTTTCTCCTGCCTTTTCAGATCCTCTGGATCTAACTCATATACGTTTCAACCAATCTGAGTCTGAGGGGAGTTCTCTTATTTCTCTAAGGAAAAAGGACTACTTGACAGGAACAGGCCAGGATTCTTCACATTTGGTTCTTGTGACCTTTAAGGAAGCAGTCACCATGACCAGAAAAGTCACTGTTCCGGGCATCCTGGTTCCTGATCTAATAGCATTTAATCCCAAAGCACAGGTAGTGGCACTGGCTTCCAATACTTGTAATAGAATTTTGATCTATTCTGTTGTCCCATCTTCTCTGGCAAACACTCAGCAATTTCAGTTAGAAAGTAATGAAAGACCAAAAGGCATGTGTTTCTTGACAGACAAATTATTGCTAATTTTGGTAGGAAAACAAAAGTCCACTGATACTGCATTTCTTCCTTCTTCAGAGTCTGATGAGTATATCATTCGCTTGGCTGTTAGAAAAGTAATGTTGGGAGAAGACTCTTTAGTAACATCCAATGAGAGCCAGAGTGCCTACTCTACTTTCAGTACTCTGTTAAATAAAGCAAATAGAGAAAAGTTAACTGAAAGTCTTTCCCCAGATTTTTGCCACCAAAACAGAGGGCCGTTGTTAACAGCTAATACCACTTGTCAGAGTGGAAGGCCTGGAAGAACCCTTGTTAAAGAAATCACAAGTCCCCTGTCTAGTATCTCTGAAGGTTCCCTTGCACTGGAAACACTCCATAGGCCTTCCTGGGTCTGGGCAACATTGCCTAGACCAAGCAGAACACCAGACCACACCAGCACACCAGAACCTGCTAAACTGCCTCAAAGAGAGAACTTACAAAAGGAAAAGGAAGTTTACCAGCTATCTAAGGAACTGGAAGATGTATCTAGAAACCTGATTGAAATGCAGCAGTATCTTTTTGAACTCATGGATTTTGTACATATGGAGAAGAAATCCTCTCCAGCATATCCACCCTCTCAGGATCCCCCTTATGTTCACGTCATTTATCAGGTAATTTCTTTGAGGAGCAATGGCATGAATACCCAATAAGATGACTTAATTTTTAACGACTTTAAGATTTTTTTTTTTTTTTGGCAGTACTGGAGTTTGAACTTAGGGCCTACACCTTGAGCCACTCCACCATTTTTTTGTGCTGGACATGAACCACTGTTGCCCAGCTATGACTTTAAAATTTCTTAGAAATCATTTATTTGCCTTTGTACTTTTTTTAAGCTAGGTGTTTTGAGTGTGTGTGTTTTTATAATGGCACTGGGATTTGAACTCAAGGCCTCACAGTTACTAGGCAGGCACTGTGCCACTTGAGCCACTTCGCCAGCCCTAACTAGGTAAATTTGTTTTACTTCTGCAAATCCTCAGATACTAACCACTTAGGGCAGTCTTTCTTGGTTTTTTTTTTTTTTTTTCCACTCAACAAAGCAATTGTGAAGATTTTTGTCTGCCTCTAAATCAGTCAATAATTGTTCCTCACCATTGGATCTGCCTCCCAGGCCACTATCCATTGATCTTCATGTATTGGTCATGTCCTAGGAGAGTCAACTCATAGTTTCACACTTTTACCCTGAGGAAAGAGTAGAGCAAGAGGGAAAGTAAATTAAGGTTGTATTTTGTTCTGATCTGTTAGTTGTGCAAACCAACACAGCAAAGAGCTCCTCATTTAGCCAGGTGACGGTGGCTCACGCTCATAATCCTAGCTACTCAGGAGTCAGAGATTAGGAGAATCACAGTTCAAAGCCAGCCCAGACAAATAGTACTCAAGACCCTATCTAAAAAAATTCCTTCACAAAAAAAAGGGCTAGTGGGATGGCTCAAGGTGTAGGCCCTGAATTCAAACCCCACATACTGCCAAAAAAAAAAAAGAACCCCAAAAACTAAAGTCTAGTTGATAGTGTTAATAGATGAGATTGGTTTGTTGCTTATTTGTCTATCTGAGACTGGGTCTTACTATGTAGCCTGAGCTAGCCTCGAACTCATGATCCTCCTGCCTCAGCTCACAAGTGCTGGTATTATAGGCACGCATCACCACATACAGCTTCATATTCTATCTTAGGAAATGTTAACTCCATTGCTTTTGCAATCAGGATAACAACTTTTATTTTTTGTTTGAAGAAACCTTGTTATGTAGGTCCTGCTGAGAAAAGAGTGGTGCTTCTCTGCAATGGCAAACTAAGGCTCAGTACAGTTCAGCAGACGTTTGGCCTCTCCCTTGTGGAGATGCTGCATGGTAGGTTAAGTTCAGAACACCCTATCCCTATACCATCTATTTTTCAGCTCCCACTAGTAATGTAAACGACATATACCAACCATTCGGTGATTTGCTAAATAGTTAACAAATACTATTAACTGCCTAATGTATTACCTAGGCCTGTTATAGATGCAGAACACATAGAAAATACAGTTTTTTTCCCTTAGGGAACTCACATCCTAGATGGAGAAATTAAACGTACACATGGAAAAACTAGAAAAGAGTTACACAGCAATATATAACAGCTGCAAGGAAATTATATAACAACATCCTGTCTGCCTATTGCACTAAAATATAAAAATCAGCAGCACTGAAGAATGTCAGTCAGTTCTGAAGTATGCCCTATTTTACTTTGCCATATTTTCTTTGACACTTTTAGGTGGTTTTAATTCTTTCACCATTGTAAATAACACTAACCAAAACCTCTCTGCATATTTTATGTTATTTTGGGAGTATAGATTTTCAGAAGCAAAATCACAGGGTCAAAAGGTGAGAAACATTAGACTTGAAGCAACCAGAGGTGGTCCAAGCATGTATTCTGCTAGTGCTCCTGGGTGACCATTCAGGATTATATGGGTCTATCTCTGGTCAGCTCACCCTCCTTAGATGTCTGTAGGTTAGTATGGACCTACAGAATGAACAGTATTCTTTCATAGAGTAGCTGCTCTCAAATTCATATAGTTTCTGGAGAAACTGGTGCATATCTCTGAGATAAGGGAAGAATCTTCCACACACAGCTCTTAACATGAACACATATACACTCACACACAAACTTGTATACATATCACTCACTGGATAATGAATGCCTGCCCTGGTGAAAATGTATGTCCCTTCACTCTGCTTAAGTGACCAAGTTTGAATGACCATTGGCAAGCCTTTCCTGCCATAAAACCTGACCCTAAGTAATAGTCCTTTTATCTCCCCATTTTCTGTAAAATCTTAGGATGATGAGGTTCAATATCAACTACTGTATTCCACTCAAAAAGACCTTAGTTGTAGTCATTTGTTTCTTCTTGTTTTTTTTTTTTTTTTTGGTATCTTTTTCTTTATTTAGAATTGGATAAGTATCCTAAATTGCCTGTGTGTGTATTTTACTTTGCAGATTCCCACTGGATCCTTCTCTCTGCTGACAGTGAAGGCTTCATCCCATTAACTTTCACAGCCACCCAGACTGTCATTGTGAGAGATGGCCTCCTGTGCAGGTCAAATGTCTCCAGAGACTTACTCTCTCATAGCCAAGATCCTGAAGTCTTTGGAGACCTGACCACCCAGAGTTTTCGATACCACTGGCTCCTCTAACCATTTAGACAGAGCAGCCTGATACTTGTGGAGTATTGGATTTGTAGCTTTTTACATGCAGCCATGACAAACAAGGAGTTTTGCACCATGGACTCTCACTGGTGAGGTTTACATTGTGTTGCTGTAGTTGCTCATCTGCGTTAGATGGCTCTGAAAGTTTATGTATTCATGACCGTGGTTTTGTATAAGAGCAGAATTCCCAGAATGAAACAATACTGTGGTACCATATGGATTGTGTTTTATGGTTACTATGAGGCATTGTGTCCCCTGCCCAAAGCTGGGTTAAGGCTGTCTTAGGAGCACTTAACAGATACCTTGGCATTGTTCTAGGTCGTTTCCTTGGCTTAAGATGAGGGTAAGGAGTGCTTCTGGAGAGCACAAGCTCCAGCATATATCCTTTCTAACTTCAAGCCAGCAGGTGTTAGCGGAGTGCAGAGGAAGCCAAAAGTCTCACTTGGGCTCCCAGGGATGCGTGGATCAGGAGTTAGTTCTGGTGGTCTTGCCTCCAGAGATTTCAACCTAACCCTCCTGCCTCCTTAAACAATTCTGACTGAGGTCCAGAGACTGCTAAACTCTGTCCCAAGTTTTGAATGAGATATCAAGTGATTTGACCCAACAGGGTTCCACCTGACCTCGTGCTGATGCTGATAATTGTGTGATGTCAAGCACACGCTAGTCTTCAGGCATGACTGTGTGCTGAACTCAGGATTTTCTCCCTAACATTTGTCGTTTTATTTTCTTTTACGTTCATAAAAATTTCCTGTTTTCCTCCAAGTAGTTAACTTGTCCATTTTTAGTGGTGCTGGGGATTAAACATAGGGCCTTGTATATGCTAGGCAAGTGCTCTCCCAATGTGCTGCACCCCTAGCCCAACTTGTCGCTTCAATTTTGATATTTTTCTTTCCCCTTCTTTCTTCAAGACTAGTAGAGAATCTATGAGAGAAAATATTTCTGAAAGGTGATAATTTCACTGAATCTGAGATAGTGTGCCAGTTTAGAGCTGATGGAGTGGCTAAAGTTGTAGAGTGCCTGCCTAGCAAGCATGAGGCCCTGAGTTCCAATCCCAGTACCACTAAAAATAAAATATCATTATATATAAAGCGTATCTGTTTATTATCCTTATGAGTAAAGTACCAGCTTAGGATATTGGGCAGAATCCCAAAATCCCTTCAGATGGACACAACAGTTCTTACTGCCTTCAGACAGAATCACAGGTTTCAGTCACGGCAGCACAGCCCATTGATCAGGGTGTGGCAAGACAGAGCACATCTGCAGATAATTGTTTCAGCCATCTAAATTCCATTAGCACACAGACTTCCCCTGCCTTCCTTTAAAATTATCCAGAAAGAAAATACTTTGTTGCCCTCGGAGACTCCTGTCTGTTATAGTTTATGAAGATGGAGCTGGGCTAGAAAGGAAGCAAGGATCCATTTTGTGGTTCAGATGCATTAGGCAGCTGGTGGGATAATGGAAAGAGAGGCCACTCATCACTAATCAATGGCTTGAGAGTGGTGGCCGAAGATGGTCTGAGGCCTGACTCCATTTGCCAAGGAAGTGTCTGGGATGTGGTGAAATCACAACTGTTAGAGGGACCCTTGAGTAAAATCAATGTGGATGCCTCAAGATGTCTCATCACCATTTCTTATGACAAAATCCTGTGGATGAGTCTTCCATAAAATCACTAATAGAGAGAGGTTGAGGTTGCTTTGAATGTTTCCATGGTATCTTTGTTATGATTATTACTGGTATAGAGAAATGCTCTTGATTTTACATATGTATAGGTTATCATTGTGTTTCTTCTTGTGGCAGCCCCAGTCCAGAATGTAAATTCTTTCTTTATAACAAATCTGATTTCATAACAACTCTTATACAAGAGTTTCCTTGGCGTCAGCTATTATGATCATTGGAACAGTGAAAACCAATGCAGTGTTTGCTGGTTTTGGAGATGGGGAAAGAAACACTAAATTCTTTAAATTGCTGTTTAGTGTTGCATTGAAGATATTTTGCATAAACAAAGATATTATTTACAAATCTCATTTTGCACCCAACTTTTTCTCAATTTTTGAGTGGGTATTATTTAATACATGCTATTTATTTTTTATTATTATGTATTTGCTATACATGGATATATCATATGTATGGAATAAGATAGCCTAATAATAAAATGAACTGTCTACCACATAATTTAAGAACCAGAACATTATCAGACACCTTTCATGGTCTTTTGTGTCCCTTCTTGATCCTGTCCCCATACCACCAGAGGTAACATGTTTTGATAGTTGTAATTTTCATTTCTTTGTGCCTTTTGTTTCTTTGTAAAGAGGAGTTTTTCTGAGATTTATCCTTCTTATGTGTATATTGTATTACTTTCGCTATTTTGAGTTGACATAATTTATCCATACTCCAGTTATGGACATTTGGCTTGTTCATGGTTTTGTTTTTGAGATTATAAACCATATTACTTTAATAATCCTTACATAAGAGTTTGAAAAATCTGTGTAGGGTCAGGGAGTGTGTAGGCTCAGTTCATGAGATAATGCCACATTATTTTCCAAAGGAATTATATCATTTTCCACTTCTAATTGCAATGTGTTAGAGCTCTTGTTCTTCATGATCAATGCTGCTTAATTTTTGACAGTCTGGTAGGGTTTTTAAATTTTTTTTGGCAGTACTGGGATTTGAATTCAGGGCCTCATGCTTGTTAGGCAGGCACTCCACCACTTGAGCCTCTCCACCAGCCTGGGTGTGTGTGTGTGTCTGGTGTGTGTGTGTGTATGTGTACACATGTGTGTACATACATATGTACGTATGTTGGATATTTGATAGGGTCTCTGAACTATTGCCCAGGCTGGCTTCGAACTTCGATCCTCCTGATCTCTGCCTCCTTTGTAGCTAGGATTATAGACGTGAGCCACCAGTGTTTGACAGTCTGGTAGTTATTTGTTTTTGTGGTACTGGTAATTGAACTCTCAGCCTCAGACTTGCTAGGCAAATGCTCGACCTTTTGAGCCACACCCCTGGTCCCTTTTATTTTTTTTTTGTTTTTGAGATAGGTGCTCCCTAACTTTGCCCAGTTGATCTTGACCTCTGGAGCTTGCTACCTCCTCCTTCTGAATAGCTGGGATTACAGGCATATGATTCTTGGCTGTCTAGTAGTTTTAAATGGTATCTCACTGTGATCCTAGTATTTACTTGCAGTTTGACAATGGGTTTTATATTTATTAGCCATTCACATTTTCTCTTTGGCAAAATGCTTGTTCATGACTTTCTCCAAGATTTGTTAGGTTGTCTTTTTCATGTTGAATTGTAAGAATTCTTAATATATTCTAAATGTCATCAATACCTGTTGCTACTATCTTTTCTTTGTCTAGTTTGTGATTTGTCTTTTTTCCAGTCCTGAAATAGTTTTATTTATCTAACATTTTTATTAGCGTATATTAGTTGTACAGAAGGTCTCGTTGTGACATTTCCATGTATGCTTACAATGTACCTTGGTTAGGTTCATCCATACTATCATTTTAATGATATCGACGTTTCAATGTTTCATTGTTCTGTTTTCATATAAGTATATAAAGTACCTCAACCATATTCACCCTCCTTTCATCTTTTTCTTCATGGTATGGTTTGTTGAACAAATTTTTTTTTTTTTGGTGGGGCTAGGGATTGAACCCAGGGCCTCACGCATGCTTGGGAAGCACTCACCATTGACCTACATCCTTAGCCCTCAGACATTTTAATTTCTGTGAAGTCTCGTTTATCTTAAACTTCTTCCCTTCTATTGAATTTTTATCTTTAATTGATACTCTGCTGATTAATCAAGGTGCCCCTCTGCAGATCTCCCAGTTCTGTTCTGTGGTGCACTTTCATTTCCAATATTCTGTCTGCACAATTCAGTTTTCTGGGCTCCCAAAAAACTCCCTGCACTGTGGTCTGGAATCTTCCTCAAGGCAGTATGGTGGGGCAGGCGTAAGACTCATTTCATTTCTTTTCATCTCTCATCCTCCTTTTCCTGATACTCAGTGTCTTAAAAACTGTTCGTTCTTATATTTGTCCACTGTTTGTTGTTTCAGGCAGGAGGCTCACTCTAGTCTCTATTGCTGTATCCTGGCTAGTAGCAGAAGTCTTTCCACATTTTTTTAAATTATTGTTATGCTGGGAATACATTGTGACATTTACAAAAGTTCTTACAATATATCATAGTTGAATTCACCCCCTCCATCATTCTCTTTTATCCTCCTGCCACATCTTTTTTATGTATTCCCAGGCACTTCATTTTTGGTGGCAATTGTTAAAAACATATTTTTTATATAATTATGCTTTATATTTGTCGGTGGTGTAATACAGTTAGTTTTTGTTCATCTTATACCAAAATACCTTTCTGTATTCTCTTGTTAATTCTAATAATTTATAGATTATTATTTTTTATTTTTTTGAGACAGGTTCTTGCTTTGTAACCTAGGCTGGTCTTGATCCATTGATTATCCTGTCTCAACCTCCCAAGTACTAGAATTACAGGTGTGAACCACCGTGCCTACTTTGGAGTTTTCTGTGTAGGAAATCATATCATTTACAAATAGTGGCAGTTTTTTTTCCTTTTTTTTTTTTTAAGTTGGATTTCAGGTTTGAACTCAGGGCCTTGTGCTTGGTAAGCCAGATACGTGAGTCACGATTCCCAGCCGGCCCTTTTTGCTGTAATTCTTTTTTTTTTTTTTGGAGTGCTAGGGTATTAACTCAGGGCCTACATTTTGAACCACTCCACTATTTTTGTCATGGTTTTTTTCCAAGATAGGGTCTTGTGAGCTATTTGCCAGGACTGGTTTTGAACCATGACTCTCCTGATCTCTTGCCTCCTGAGTAGCTAGGATTACAGGTCTGAAGCACTGCTTTAATTATTTTTCAAATAGGGTCTTGCTTTTATGCCTAAGCTAGCCTGAGCCATGATCCTATTTATGTTTGCCACATAGCTGGGATGACAGGTGTGCCACCATGCACAGCTTTTTTTTTTTGATTGAGATGGTGTCTCATGGATTTATTTATTTATTTATTTTTTGCCTAGGTTGGTCTTAAACCCTGATCCTCTTGAATAGCTAGATTTACATGCATGAGTCACCATGCTAGGTGCAAATGTCTCTTTCACATGCTAATTCTATTTTCTTTGGGTATATACCCCAAACTGGGATTGCCAGATTTTATGGGTAATTCTATTTTTCATTTTGAGGAACCTCCATGCTGTTTTCCATAATGGATATACTAATCTATATTCCCACCAACAATGTGTAAAGAGTTCCCTTTCACCATATCCTTGACAGTGATTGTTATCTTTTGTCTGTTTTGGATAACCATTATCACTGGGGTTAAGTGATAACTCATTGTTTTTGTTTTGGTTTTTTGGGTGTCATTGGGGTTTGAACCCAGGGCTTCGTGCTTGCAAAGCAGGTACACTACCACTTGAGCCACACCCCCAAGGCCCAAGACAGGATTTTTAAATGGAATGGTCAGCATTGGTTGAGTAGCATTGAGAGTTTCTTTGGTCTGGTATATTTGGTCAGACATTATTCATTCAATCCACTCAGCCATCCTGAGGTGTACTAACACATTTGTTCAAACAAATGTCCAGCTACTCAAGCAGCTAGGTGGGAGGATCACTTGAACCCAGGAGTTCAGGGCCATCTTGGGCAACATAGATCCCACCTCAAACAAAAACTAAACAAAACCAAAATAATAATAAAAACAATGCAAAACTAAAAAATGAGGCTCAAACTTGTTAAATAAGTCAACCAGTCACTTGAAAAAGATGGAAGCATCATATAAACTCAGATCTCCCTTTCATCTTGTCAGCAGCACTCTCTCCTTGGTCATGGAGGCCAAGGCCAAGTTTAATGGGTTAAGCATGGCAGGTGAGGCAGAGGAGATAGCAAGGGCAGGGATTGGGGAGACCAATAAGACAGATTATTTGAAGAGGAGAAAACCAAGGAAAGAAAGAAATCTATTTTTTGTTGGTTTTAAGGATGAGGGTAACCTGTCCTCATTCATTTGGCAAACATTTATTCATGTTGAACACTTCTGGGCCCTCCCCAGGCCCGATCCATATGAGCCACCATCACCTGTGCCTTGGGTCACCCTAGAGTCTCAACTTTGTGTCTCTTCCTGAGGACAGGAGGAACCTGGCTCCCACATGGTGTCCCTGGTCTAAGGAATGCATGTGAAGATATATGCCCCAGGTACATGGCCAGGTTTAATGACATTGAACACCTTTATCCTCCCCTCCTCATGGGATTCCAGCAGTGGGATGAAAAGGCTATCCACAGTTACATTTTACAGACTGCGGAACATAAACCTTTTATTTTGAAAAAATAAACCTTAATGGATCTTTCTGCACCAAAGGCATGGTCTCTAGAAAACTGTAGTTTCTGTGTTTTCATAAGATAGAGATGCCAGATGGGGGTCCTGGAACCCAGTCTGGTCCCCTCAGGAGAAGTCACTGAAGAGTCCATAGGCCAAGGGAAAATGCTGTGTGCTAAACTGCCAGGCAGGTGCTCAAGGGCCAATGAGAGACTTGAGGCCTAGAAGACACAAGCTTCTGCTGTTCGGCTTACAGAGTCCTCTTGAACTTCACGCAAGACTGTAGCTGGTCCTTCTGTAGGAAGCCAAGGAGAAAGATGGGTGAAGCAGGGTCTCTCCCCTGCCATGGAGCCCCATGGAAGTTTCTGTGGCGTTCCTTGTCTTCCGTCACCCCACCCCCACCCCCTCCCTTTGCAGCCCTGTTCCTCTGAGTCCCGTCAAGCAAGTCCCCATCCACTTGTGATTGCTGGAGTGGAAGACACAATCTCGGTATTACTCTGCTTACAAGTCTGAGGCCAGTAGCACTGAGAAGGGGCTTGTGATGCCACTTGCTGCCACTGTGTGGTTCTGGGTGTGGGCACATGCTTGTTTTGTAAGTGCACATGAGCATCTGCTGGACTGGACGTGTGTATGTGGCAGGCAGCAGAAGTTCCCTGAGTGCATGTTTGGCCCCGGCCCTGTGCTGGGCTCTTGGAATTCAAACGTGAATAAAATGCTTCTAAGATTCTCCACGTTCTCCTGAGAAAAACACAGTGGACAAATCCTTCCCACGCAGTGGGATTGGTGCTCTGGTAGGGGAAGGACAAGGTCAGTGAGCTGCTTAGTCGTGAGAGGAAAAGCAGGTGGCATCTCCTAGGTTTTGGCTCCAGGGCAGACAATGGTGCCATTCACTGAGATGGGGAAGATTTCAGTTTAGGGCTCATTAAGACTGACATGCTTATGGGATAGCAAGGGCAGATGTCCAGGCAAGAGTGGCTTGTGGACTGAGATCTGAAAGAAGCACAGGGTGGAGGACAGCTTCAGGAGTCGTCAGTTGTGAGGTACAAGTAAGGGAGACACATGGGGATACAGAAAGCATAGGGGGTGCCCTCACACACCCCCATGCACCAGTGGTCCAAGAAGACGACTGTGAAGGGGGACCAGAGAGAAGACAATCAGGAGCAAATCGTGTCACTTTGCAAAGCAAAGGCACAGCACCCAACTGAGTTGCACTGTGGATCTGCAGCCTTAGTCACTCAGGCCTCTGCATGTCTGTGTGTCCCCAGGGTCATAGCCCTGCCTGTGTACCCGTGTATGCTGGCTGCCCACCTTCGAAGGCTTAGCTGGCAGGAGGTGTCCTGGGTTGGCACCTTGGCAGTGGGTCCAACCATAAGGATGCACAGACCAGTGAGGATCATGCAGGTGGGCACAGCACCAATAAGGACCTTGAGGGTAACCACCACCTCCTCCGCCTGCTCACAGGCTCCTGCCTTATACCCTGCAAACCTAGAGAAATGCCACCCCATGCATCCAGTCAGGGCTGTTGAGCCTGGTTCCCTAGGTGCAGGGGTCATACATACCCAACCCCGGGTCTCCTGAAACTTGGCTAGATCAGCCTAAGTATGAAAGGAGGAGAATGAAGGGGACCAGGGAAGTGCTCAGAGAGAGCTGAGAACACAAAGTGTACCCAAAGGGGTACAGTTCCCGAGAAGGGCCTCCAGTCATATGCACAGGGCAACCTGGGGAAGTAGCCCCCCCCACACCACAGAGCACAGTCTGTGCCCCAGACTCGTGTGTGGCTTCTGGCTAGGTACAGCGGGGGCTGTGCTTCCCCTCCCCCCCAATCTACCAGTCTTTTGTGTCTATGGTGTATCCCAACACAGGGACTGACTCCAGACTCAGGGTGGAGATGCCCAGGGCGCCTGCTCCTGAAAGCTTGGTGAAGAAGACGTAGGACGAGTAGAAGATTGTCTCCAGACCCAGGGCACGCTGATGCTTCAGCTGGAAGTCATCCACTACGTCTGGCAGCATGGACCTGGGGACAGGTATAGGGTGAGCCCTCTTTATTCTCCTGAAAGCCAGCAGCTTGGGAGTCCACTGGGGGACAAGACTGAGCCATAGTGTTCTCTGCTCAGGACTGGCCCACAGCCAGCCAGGAGTCTGTGTGTTTGTATTCTCCAGCATTCCTGCTGGTGGTGCCCTTCCAGGAGGGCTCCAAGGATGGAGGTTGTGCCCTGCCCCTTCCTGTCCCATCTCCTGCACAGGCTGAACACAGGGGACCTCAGACAGCAAGTCGATATGTGGGAAGCAACAGGCTCCCACTCCTCTTCCCTCACCCAGCTTACCAGGGTAGCAGCAGGGACACAGCAATGCTCATGCCAGAGAAGAAGGCCACAGTATATGCCACGGGGGCTGTGGGCACAGCTGCCAGCAAGATTGAAAAGGGCACCATCGCCTGGAGAGACAGACCCCCAAGCCGGTCCCTCCACCTGCTCCCTAGGCTTGTCCTTCCATTCACACCCTCAGCCCAGTGCCAGGTGCTGCCCTGCCAGCATCAGGAGGCTCAGGCTCCATGGCTGCCTCCCCACCCGCCCCAGACCCGCTGACTTGCCACACTCACACAGATGCCAAAGGCTGATGTCCTCTTCCCAAATCGCTGGAGAACCCGCTCCCACAGTGGAGTGCTCAGCACGGCTGAGACCTGTGAGCAGACTACATCTTCACACCAAGGCCCTGTCGTCAGTGCCTTCTCCCAGATTTCAGAGCCCTGGCTTTTAGGTGGGCTTGTTCTTGGTTTAGACCGATAGCTATTAACTTTGACCCTGGCCCCAATTCCACCCTCTGCTGCTGTGACCAATGCAAAGTCCAGAATGTTGACCACTAGAATTCTGGTCACACATGTCCCCAACTCAGGCCCCTCTGCCATTCACCACCCAGGTCCCCTCACCAGGATGGTTAACACCAGGTTCTGGACATGGTCATGTAGCCGGGTAGCATGTGTACAAAACAGGACCAGGTAGTTCTGCTCCACCTGAGGAGGTGGACAGGAAGTAGGCATGTGCAAGGAATGACAAATTCAGAAGTTAAGGGTGACAAGGTCTCAAATATGGCCTGTCCTCTGGGATCATGAACTTGGATAGATGCCACCATCATCCAATCACCCCCACAAAGGACACTTATCCCCAACATAGACATAAGCACCAATCCTAGTCCACCATCACCCCTTGTACAGCTAAGAAGATCAGGTGCACTTGCCTAAACTTCTGGAAATGTGAGAGGAAACCATCCCAGACACCATCAGCTTCCTAGGGTCTGGGTCCCTCAATCCCACACCCCACATCTCTGAGCCATGTGCTCTTCCTATAAAACTTGAGCCTGATTCTGCTGTGATGAACTGAGACTGAATGCTGAGCCTCTGCAGGTTCAGTGTGGCCAGAGCCAATCAAGTGGGGACCACTTGGCTAAAGGTACCTGAATGGCAGCTGAAATGAACAGGAAGGAGGCCACCAGAATCACGTAGGGTGGGTGCCGGGTAGTGAGGCTCAGCCCAGCTAGGAAGCTCAAGCTTTGGCCTGAGGCTGGGACGGAGGGCTCTGCAATACAGGAGGTGACATCTTGGCTTGGCAGAGTTCAAAACCTATCCCCAACAGGAGTTTCCCCCAGCCTCTGCCTCCTGTGCCCTCACTGCAACATACCTGGCTGCTCCTTCACGCCTAGGCAGAGCAGACTGCCACACACAGGGTAAGTTACAGCAACCACAGCAGCTGCAATGGAGTAGAGACGGGTCTGCAAGACAGGGCAGAACCGGGCTGCAGGTGACTATTCCAACCCATGGAGGCTGGGAGCCGAGGGACCCACACCCTAAGCCCAAGGATGCTGGGTTCCCCTCCTTTGGGCCACCCAGAAAGGTACATAGGCCCAAAATGTTCTTTCCACATCTCCTTTCGCTCACCCTGTGCCTCCTGCGTGGAACAGAGGCATCTGGGGGTCAGTGCCCTCACTCACTCATCTTACTCAGAAAACGTGTACATGTGTTGCTGCTGACTTCTGCATACTAGCCCCTGAGGTTGCAATGATGATGAAGTGATCCCTGTCCATTCACAATAAGGCACTGCTGAGAGTGTGTGCATGGGGAGGTGGGAGAGGACAGACACAGATCCAGAGGTAGTCAGTTACAGAAGGATGATGCATGATGACCCAGATGAATTTCCCAGGGGAAATACAGAGATACTAAAATGCATATGAAGACATGCGTGGAGCCAGGCATGGTGGTGTATGCCTATAATCCTAGTTACTTGGGAGACAGACACAAGAGGATTGAAAGTTTGAGGCTAGCCTGGACTACATAATGAGACTGTCTAAAAAAAAAAACCAAAAGGAAAATAATTCATTTCCATCTGTGGTGGTGAGGGCGGGGGCACCAATTCAGGGTGGGGAAGAGAACTCAGCATTGAAGGGCTCTGCGCACAGTGAGCCTTCTGCCCCCTCCCTGAAAGGCCCCTTCCCACCCCTGCTTGGTGCCTCCCTTACCCATCCCTTCTCTGGGGTGGGCCGCCTCCTCTGCAGATGGACTGCCCATCTGTTGTTTTATGTCCAGAAGGAACCAGAAGGAGGAAGTATGGGCCAGAACTTGGAACTCATAAACTCAGCTAGAGGAGCAGGGAAAGAATGAGGATATAGTGAGCCCCCAAAGATGATGATAGGGCCCAGAGAGAAGCAGCCCTGGAGGAAGGAGGGAGTCCTGCAGAGGGGGTCCTGGCACCTTGAGGACTCACTGCATCTGGAGAGACAGTAGCAGGCCTGGAGAGCACAGTGTCCTCACACTGCTGAGACCTGTGGGCACTGGACACGATCAGTCCATGGACAGTGGCTCCTATCAGGGTCCCTGCCATCTCCATGGTCATCCCTTGAGGCACAGTATACACAATGTGACGGAACAAGCTGTGGGGTTCCAGGGGCAGCACCCTCCCACTATATCCCCGGGCTACACTCACGGTAGGCAGTGGCAGAGTCCCGCTCCCTGGGGATGGGGGTGAGGATCATAGTGAGCGCTGTGTAGGGTACCTGAAAGAACTGGGGTGACCCGACCAAACTTAGCATGGGCCCCACCACCCAGACTGTCAATAATAGAGCTCAACTTCCATTCTGCCCTGCAAAGGCTTGCAACCCAGTGGCCAGGCTGACACATCCCTGCTGGTCTCCTGAAGCTCAAATTCAGGGGCTCAAAAGCAGGAGAGGGGACTTCAAAGGCATCTGGTCTCTTTAGTGGTAGGCTTCTGGCACTGGTGGACAGGTAAGGGCAGTGTGTCTGTGGCTCCCACCCTCCCACCCCCAGTAGTAGCATGGTCAAGCAATGGGGTTCACCAGAACCAGGCCCAGGAAGGGAGGCCCCTGCTTACCGTAGCCAGGGCCTGAAACAAGCAGTAGAAGGTGGTGTACCAGAGGCCACGCAGGCTGGTGAAGGGGGGCAGGAACCACAGGAAGAAGTAGGCCAGGGCGATGAAGGGCATGCAGCCCAGCGCCCTGCAGAAGCACAGCTGAGGTGCAGTGCCTGCAGCACCAGACCAGGGCCCAGGGCCCAGCAGGGGGCAACCTCACTCCTCCTCCCTTGAGGAGCCCTGGACTGGAGCTGTCAAGTCGGGAGCGATGGCGATGGGGAGAAACAAGCGGAGTGGAGACTAGGGGAGCTCTGGCTGGTACACTCAGGTGGTGCCATTCCCTGTATTAAGAACACTGAGGGACTTGGGATGTAGCTCAGATAGCATGTGCAAAGCCCTGAGTTCAATCCCTGGTGCCAACAAAATAAAAGGGCAAAGGACCCTGGGGCAGTCCAGCCTGACCACTAAGCCACAGCACAGGCCAGACCTGGGATGGTGGAGTCTTGTCTAGTCTGTGCCAAGTGGTGAGGGACAGTCCCTAAGAAAGGCTCTGAACCACAGCACCCCTCACAGTGTGACCCAGTGCACCTAGTATATTGTCCAGTCTTGTCCCCTAACATCCATGGGTATCCACTAAGAAACAGGCTGCGATAAACGGTGACTGCAGGGCCAGGGATGGATGCCAGTATCTTAAGCACCAAGGGGCTGCTCACCAGGGCATGAGTCGTCCAGACCCTGTCCTCCTGCTTTTGTTGATGAAGAACCCGGCCACAGGGTCAGCAACTGCCCCAGATACCCTCCCTCCAAACAGGACCAGTGAGGCTTGGGCAGCAGGGATCTGCAGTGAAGAAAGGGGCGGTGGCAGGGAGCTAACCGTTGCACACTGGCACTTTCCCTCTTCACTCTGTCCAGTCACTTTTGAGAAACCTCGAGAGACCCTGATCTGGAGGTGACTCTGAGCAAGAAGGGTGCACCTAGGTTGACAGAGGTAGACATTTTGTTTCACAATAAAAATGTCCAATTGGTTTTTCTGACTGCATAAATGATATACTCACTACAAAAACATTCAAATAGTACAGAAAAACACTAAGCAAAGCTTACCTGAAATCCTACCAGCCTGAGACAACTTCCAGAAGCATTTGGATGGTCATTTCTTTCATGCATTTATGTGCATTTGACATTTATAATTTTATATAAATGTGATCAGATCAGTGTCATTTAAAAAAGCATGAGTACCTTATTTTAACAATTATTTCTTGCTTACCTCCTGTCCACTAGCATTCCATCCTACAGCCAACATAAGCAACGTGGTGTGTCCTGTAACTTTCTCTACCCTTCTATGTTAATCATGTAGACACATATATGCATACCCATGTACACACACATACATGGAGCATGTCTAAAATGGGATCCTTTCCCTATTACTAGCTCTCATTTTCCCACTGCACACAAGCTGTGATAAACACCCATGAGCAGACGGCCCTCAACAGCATTTGGGTTTTTTGCTAAGTTTGGGTCAAACTTCCAAGGATGGTAAAAGTAGAAGTTTGGGCGAGGTGGCAAAACAAAGAAAGATGGGAACAGGAGAACCACACTCACCTGTGCCACATCTAGCAGGAAGAGCTGCAGGTAAAAGGCTGAGGCGCTGGAGGCCACCTGGTTGGGGACCCCACCAATGCCGTAACACACCTTTGTACAGAACGAGAGGCGACCACCTCTGCTGTCCTGGGGGAGACACAGGAATTAGTCCCCACTCCCCCAAACACAAAACATTTCCCCATACCGCACGGTTTCCATCCACATCCTGAGGTCCCTATGGTGTTTCCAACAACATCTTAGTCCTGTTTTGCCCCCAAATCATCCTAAGGCGGAGTAGAGAACAAAAAAAAGACTAAACCATGCCCTGCAAACCTTTCCTGGTGGGAAGTCCTTCCGCACATCCCCCTGCACCTCCACGCTGTAGCTTGCTTTATTTATGGAGTCACCAATCAGAGTGAACTGTGGACCAGGAGACCTGGGCTGGTGTCCCTTCTTTCAGCTACTCCCTGTCTTGTTTCCTCATCTGTCACCTGCAATATTTCTGCCAACTTCCCAACATTATTGAGATAAGGAAAATGAGAACCATGGTGCTGAGAAGTGACTGTTGACTGACTTCTGCAAGCCTGGTGTGAAACCACTGGCAGCCTGAAATCAGATATGGTGAGAGAGCACTTACACCAGAATCAGCAAATGTTAGCCACTAGAGCTTTCCCTTCTTTTCCTGGACAAACTGACAGATTGTTTCCCTTTCTTTTCCTGTAGATACTGTTTATCAGCCTACACCTGACACTAATGTTTGTGAACCTGTGTGTGTGTGTGACAAGTCCTAAGGCATCCAGCCAACTCCCAACTCAGATATCTTACTGCTTACTCAGTCCCACACAGATGCCTGACAAGCATCTCAACTAAGCATGGCCGGTCAAAATACAATTCCTTGCTTTCCATCCTGCTGTCAAATCAGCTCGTAACCCTGGTGTCCCCACCTTGTTACACAGCACCATTGAGTGCTCAGGGGCTCAGGCCACAAACCCAGGATTCCCCCTTTCCACTCCCCTGTCTAATCTATCAGCGACAGCCTCCTGTGTGGCTTCTCTGTTTCTGCTTTGGTTTTTTACGTTTGACTCTCTACCCGCAGCCAGTGATCTTTCAATAATGAAGATCAGCTCATGTCTGCTCTCTGTGTAAAACCCTCCAACAAGTCACATTACAGTTGGAATCAAACTCCCAAGTCCTGTTGGGTGCCAGTGGCTCACGGGAGGCTGAGATCAGGAGAATCGTGCTTCAAGGCCATCTTGGGCAAATAGCTCATGAGACCCCCATCTCCAAAACTAACCAGGGCAAGAAACAGACTGGAGGTGTGGCTCAAGTTGTAGAGCACCTACTTTTGTATGTGTGAAGCCCTGAGTTCAAACTCCAGTCCCCAAAACAAAACAAAACCTCATGTCCTCATAACAGCCTCCAGGAGCTCACTCAGTCACTCAGCTCCCATTTTCTTACCCACTGCACTTCAAATGGCTCTCCTTGGGTGAGGGGCTTCCTATGTTCAAAATGACAGAGACCACTGCTGCTTCAGGGCCTTTGTGTTTACCATTTCTCTTGCCTGGAGGACTTTCCTGTGTCTTGGAAGAACAGACTCTTTCTCACTCAGGTCTGAGTTTAAATGGTGCCATCTAAGGCATATTTCTTGACTACCCAAGCCTCTCACCTACACTTACTGTGTGGTGTACTCTCATTTGTTTTCTGCCTCTCCCCAGTGGAGTGCAAGCTGTCTGAGAGCACGAGCTGCCCTTCACTCTCTGTGGTGCCTCTAGCACCTATGACCATGTGTGGGACACAGGAGGTGCTCAGTAGGTTTTCTTTGAAGCATAAATGACCACAGTGTAAAGTGCTATTTTTTCAAGAGATGCTGGGGATCCCTCCTTCTCATCTTTTGGGATGGAAGCGGGTAGAAGACGTCCGGGGCTTTGCCCATTTCTGTATCTTGTGGAGCCCATAAGCAGGCTCTCTTGAAGGGAAGGTCTTCCCAGATAAGGGTTTATCGCACCCCTTGCACACTCTTCCTACCCACAGGAGAAAACCACACTTAAGGCAGGATGTGTGCTTTTTCTGACATTTGTGTAATATTTCAGCTCCAGAAAAGTTTAATAAGCAGAATTCAACAGAACAGCCCTACCCCCACAATGGGTTTTCTTGTGTCCTCCTAAATGGGCCCCTCCAAGTTTTTAGAACACAGAAGACCTCCCCCCAAAGAAACTCTGGCTGAAAGGAGAGATGAGAGGCACTGTTTGGAATCTTCAGAATGACAGTTTTACCAGTTTACATCACAAGCCCTTCATACCCCACCGAGTAAAAGTTTACAGACAAAGCAGCAGGATGCAAGGTGACCTGTGTGAGGTGCCCACCCTTGCTAAGGTTGTCTCATTCCTAAAATTCGGATAAACACCTTAGAGGGTTGCTAGGAGAATTCAATGCTAACACTTCATGGGCAAAGTTAAATTTTCCTTCTTGCCATTAATCTCACCCCAAATTTCTAAATTTCCCTGGAAAGTTAAGCGTCCCCAGAGGGTCTCCTTCCCTCACTTTTTTCTTTTCTTCTTCCCAGTGCTAGGTATGGAACCCAGGGCCTTGCACATGCTAGGCAAGTGCTCTACCACCGAGGTACAGCCACAGCCCCATCCCCCTATTTTTTATTTAAACAGATGGGGTCTCACTATCTTACCCAGGCTGGCCCCAAACTCCTGGGTTCAAGGGTCCTCCCACCTCAGCCTCCGCAGTAGCTGGCACTACAGGACCGCCATGGCACCCAGCTCTGTTTCTTTGGTGGGGGGCACAAACCTTTGCTCTGAGATGCCTGACAATAAGCAGGGTCAAGATGGGAGACTGAGGGGCTCTGGGAGCTCTACTCTGCCACTTTACACTTTTCTATCTCAATAAACTCTTCCGCTTTACACTTTAACAACAACGAAAAAGACGGGGGCCTGAGTAGGTGGTCAGCTGAAGCCACAGAAGGCCTTGACTATGGGTCTTGGTGGCGATGTTACCTTCAGTGTGACCCAACCCAGCGGTCCCTAAGTCCTCTCCAGCACGGCACGGGCCAGCATGCAGGGATGCAAAGGGCTTGAGGACACCTCTCGCTTCCCACCTGCCCTGGACGGCACCCCTGGAGCCCAGTGCCAGGTCATCCCTGGGGTCAGTCTCTCCAGGGAGCGCCTGGTGTCTGGGCAACACCAGGGTCTGAGAGAGAGACGATCACAGGAGCTGCCTGGAGTTTTGGGGAGGGCGGCAGCCCCGCGTGTACCCCTGGAAGTCCTGCCCTGCCCGCCAGGGCGAAGGAGACCAAAGGCGGCGTGGACAAGAGCCCTGGCCTGAGAATCAGGACATGGGACACTGGCCGGGTCCTGCTCGGACGTGGTTTCCCGTCCCATTCTCTTCGGGGTGGCCCAGTGTCCTCCACCTCCCTGTCGCCCCCCCTGGCGCTCACCGAGCGGGGCTCCTCCGAGCGGGGCTCCTCCTCGGCGGGGACCGGGGTGGGCTCCGGGGGCGCCGCCATCGCGCGCAGCAGCTCCGCTCCGACTGCGCCGGTTGCGCGGGTGGACCGGCGTGCGCGCGGGAGGGGGCTGAGTAGGCGCGGCGAGGGGCGGGCCGCCTGCACCCCGGCACCCCGCACCCGCCAGGCGCACCGTTTCATTTCTCCAAGGGGAGCCAAACTCGCTGCGGGGCGGAAGAAGGGGAATGGGGGGAAGTCCCTGGGGACCGTTTTCCTGCGCGAACGAGTGCGTTGCAGCCCAAAATCCTCCAGCTAAATCCCCGGGAGGTGAAAGCTAGCAGCAGATTCAGTTCATTTAAAAAAATGAGGCCAGACGCGGTAGCTCAGAGAATCCTAGCTACTTGGGAGGCCGAGATTGGGAGGATCGCGTTTTGAGGCCAGCCCTGGCAAATGTTTGCGACACTCCCAGCTCAACCAGTAGCTGGGCATGGTGGTGTGCTGTCATCCCAGCCATGGATGGGCATAAGGGCAGACCCTATCTCAAAAAAAAAAAAAAAAAAAACTTAGCAAAAGAATCAACTTGGTGATACTTAGATTATGAGTGAACAGGCCTTTAACCTGCTAATTTAACAGCTAATGCCTCGAGTACACATTTTTCAGCCTCTGGTACAAGATCGGTATAGACCTCAGTGTAAGGCTGCAACAATAAAACCCTTCACACACAATAGGAGCAATCTTTGTAATATTAGCTTAGACAATTGCTTCTTAGGACACCGAAAGCACAAAGTGGATTACATCAAAACGAAAAAACCACCCTGTCAAGGATTTCAACACGTGAAAAAGCCACCCACAGAATGGGAGAAAAATATTTGCAAATTATAAGGAACTTGTATTGGGATGTATAAATGACTTTCACAGGGCTAGAGGAGTGGCTTAAGTGGCACAGTGCAAGAGTGAGGCCCTGATTTCAAACCCCAGTACCACCAAAAAATAAATAAGTAAATAACTCTCATAATAGAAAAACAATCCAAGTTTTAAATGGACAAAGGAATAGATATTTCTGTAAAGATATACAAACAAACACTAAGCACATAAAAAGATGCTCACACTATTAGAATAAAAATCAAACTACAATGAGGTACCACTTCACACACAATAGGGCAATTATAGCAATAATTGAAGAGATGACAGGGCTGGCAGAGTGGCTCAAGCAAGCCTGAGTCCCTAAACTGAAATCCCAGTGCCTCAAAAAAACAAAAAGCAAACGCTGGTGAGGATGTACAGGAATCATAGCCCTCGCACACTGCTGGCAGCACTTGAACTAGAGGCTGCCCTTTGGAAAAGTTTGGCTTGTCCTCAAAATGCTAACCACTTACTATAGGACCCAACAATTCCACTCTATGTAGAAACTCTAGAGAATTGAAAACGTGCCCACGCGAAAACTAGCATGTTCACTAGCAGCATTATATATACATACATGTCCATATTTCATGAAGGTATGAAATAGCCAAATAAGCGAAATGACTCAGGTTATGGATACATAAAATGTGGCAGATCTACACAATGGACTACTATTGTAGGAATGAAGGTTGTGTTGCACACCTGTAATCCCAGGCTGAAGCAGGAGGACCTTCAGTTCAAGGCCAGTCTACTACAGAGTGGGACAGTTTTCTGTTTCTTTGGTGCTGGGGATCTAAACCAGGGCCTTGCACATGCTAGGCAAGCACTTTACCATTGAGTTACACACTTAGCCTTGGATCCTGTCTTTAAAAAAAAGAGGATCAGAGGGGTAAATAAATGCTATACCACATACACCAAAGACGAACCTTGAAGACATTATACTAAGAGAAAAAAGCCAGTCACCAAAGACCACATGTTGTAGACTACAGTTGAAATGTCATGGTTGTACAGCCCTGTGAATATACTCTACTGGAAACCACTGACTCCCAAACTTTTTTTTTTTTGTGGTACTGGGGCCTGAACTCAGGATCTACACCTTGAGTCACTCCACCAACCCTTTTTTCAAGATAGAGTCTTGCAAACTATTTGCCTGGGCTGGCTTCAAACTTCGATCTTCCCTCTCTGTCCTCTGAGTAGCTAGGATTACAGTAGTGAGCCACTGGTGCCTGGCTGGCTTTTTATTTTTTTGACACAGGGTCTCACTGTGTATCTAAGACAGACCTGGAACTAATGTAACCAAGGCTGGCCTTCTGCACTTCCTAAGTGCTGGAATTACATGTGTATACCACCATGTCTGGGGCATGGCTTCACTTTTTTTTTTTGATGGTACTGGGAATTGAACTCAGGGCATCACTTACTCAGCAGGGACTCTACTATTTGAGCTACTCTGTCTGCCCTGCTAATGTTGGTTATTTTTGAGATAGGGTCTCACTTTGTGATCTTATTTGAACTTCCCTGCATAGCTGGGATGACAGGTGTGTGCCACATAGAGATGGGGTTTCCCAAATTGATTCCTTGCTATGTAGGCTCAGCTGTCCTTGAACGACCCTCCTGCCTCTGCCTCCCAAGTGCTGTGATGGATGACAGCTGTGTACTACATCAGCTGTCCAGGCTGGTCTTGAACTACTAGGCTGAAGTGACCCTCTTGCTTTAACCGCCCACATGCTGCGCCAAGTGTGACCTGGCAGTACAACTATCGTGAGACCCCAAGTCCAACTATGCTGAGACTGCAGATGAACGACATGGGAGGTTGACAATTTTCATGGAGTTGATCTACCAATCCTGAATTGCTGCTCTCTGGACTTCTGCATGGGAAATAAAATTTTATTATTTTGTAAGCATTATGATTTTGAATATTTTATAACAGCTAAATCTGGTCCTACAGAGTACCATATTCACTCTGTAACAAGTCATTCCTTATGCCTTAATTCCTTAACCTACACACATAGGTATCTTTTGTTTCCTTGATTACAGTAGAAAGACTAGTTAATACAGGTGCTAAAATATTTAATTCCTTGGATATTAAAACATAAACTAAGCTGGGCACTGGAAGCTCATGGTTGTAATCCTAGCTACTCAGGAGGAAGAGATTCAGGAGGACTGAGGTTCTAAGCCAGTCCAGGCAAATAATTCACAAGACCCTATCTCAAAAAAACCCATTGCACAACTTAGAATGTAACACATTTATACATGGAAGCAATGCTAGGAATCTCCCTGTATTGCTATCCTTATTTCAACTAGCAAAAATGCTTTTGTCTTTCTTATTATTGTTTATACTCTCTCTTCAACAAAATTAGAGGTAAGGGCAGAACAGATTCTGCCTGAAAGTGAGGGGGGGAGCAGGGAGGAGAGGGAGGAGAAATGGCCCAAATAATGTATGCACATATGAATAAACGAGAAAAAAAAAAGGTGTAGGCTCTGAGTTCAAACTCTGATCCCCCCCCCCAAAAAAAATTAACTGAAGTTTCTCTGGATAATCTACTGGGGGTCGAACTTGCCTCACACTTGCTAGGAGGTCTCAACTTTTTGCCTGGGCTGGCCTCAAACCTGATCTCCACTCCATGAGTAGCTGGGATAACAGGCTTGCCTGGCAACTCATCATTTTTAAATGCATCTGGAGCAGGTTTGGGAGTTCATCCCCAATACCTGCACTTCATTGCATATACAATTTTAAGTTTGAAAGAAAGCACAGGTTAAAAAATCAGTTTTTACTGCACATATATTTTTTTCAGGTGCTGGGATCAAAGGCATTCCCTTCCCCCCAATGACAGAACTTCCTCCCACCAGGCTCCAGCTACTAAAGGCTCCCCCACCTCCTAACAGCACCATGGCCCTGGGGGATACTGAAGATCCAAACCGCTTTTTAATAACACGTGAAAGAACGCGCGTGAAAAGGCTATTTACTGGGCTAGGGAATTACTCAAGTGTGGAACACCTGCCTGGCGAGCGTGAGGCCCTGTGTCCAATCCCCAGTACCACAAAAAAACAAAACAAAAAACTACCTAAACAAAATGGTATTTGTGGTTCTCTCTTAATGGTGGAATAACAAGTGATTTCAAGATCACCTTAGGATATTTGCATTTTATACTTTCTACAATGACTATGAATAGAATACATTTAAAACAAAATGACAAAGAGCCGAATACTAATCTACTGAATCACTTCTAGTTGAGGATCTGAACAATTTTTTTTTTTTCTTGGTGGGAATCAGGTTTGAACTCAGGGCTTCACATTAGGAAAGCAGGAATTCTACCTCTTGAGGCACACCTCCTGTCCATTTGCTCTGTTTTTGGAGATGGGGTATTGAGAACTATTTGCCCGGGCTGGCTTTGAACTGTGATCCTCTCAATCTCAGTCTCCCAAGTAGCTAGGATTACAGACATGAGCCACTGGTGCCCAGCTAGGATTTGAAATTTTTTTTTATCTAGAGGTTGTACTTTGAAAGAGAAAGAACAAAGGAGCAAACCCTACTAACAAGCCTTCATGATAGTTCAGCTGGACACAACAGATTGTTTGGACTATTTATGTTTTAGTTTTTGAGACAGGGTCTACTATGTAGCCCAGGCTGCCCTAAAACTGTGGTCCCCCTGTGTGCTTGGTTTCTAGGACTGCACCACCACAGCAAGCACAAAGGATGATTTAACAAACACAACCATCCAGTTGTTACTAAAAAATCACATTTTTATATTTCTGAGTATTAAGTAAAGGTAACAATGGTTAAAGCAAAGGCATCTAAAATTCTTTAATTCTCAAACTGAATGAGTCAAACAAAAACAAATGCATTCACATGTAACTATTTTACAAGTGTAAGTTATTTCATAGATCCTTTCAACAAACAGTATTTCATCCTTGAGAGAACAGTTCTGTTAACCATTTGTAAAAATATTGCACTCAAAATACTTTAAGGCACTGAAATAAATGCATATTTACCAAATTATCAATACACTGAAGCATCAAGAAAAGTATACTGAGATTTTTGAACTTTGATAATGCATAGTAATTTAACCAGGAATTCAGAACTTGTATAATTAGAAATGTATTTCTAAATTGTCTACTCTAATTATTTCAAGAAACTGATGACAGTTTTGAAATAAACGTTTACGTCAAATTGCATTCCACACCGAAGATGTTTACTGAT